CCACAGTGAGTGCGAGCGAGCGGCCAACACGCGCCCCACCCGCCGAGGTGTTAAACCCTGAGCAGGCTGCAAGTGACAGGGCTGAATGGAAGAGTGATCGGACGGTGGATAGCAGACAGCAGAGACAAAGAGAGAACACAGAGACACGCCCTGAGGAGCGCAGGCGTGAGCCTTTGAATGGAAAATATCCAAGGGAAACCAAAAATTATGTGGATCGGAGTGCTAAAATGGAGACGAATGTCCATGACGTATCGGGAATGGTGTTGAAATCCAACACACTCGTAAAAACAAAGAGGGCAACATTACGAAGGACAGAATTAAATCGACACACTGACTCGGCAAATGTGCATGTAATCGCAGAGAGAGCGAATGCCACGAACCAAGTGTCAAAGTGGGTCGTGTGCGCGAATTCTGGTTACGTGCAGCACAATTTTTCACCACACACTCCCACGACGCGAGAGAGTGAGAGAGGAAACTACAAAAACGAACCCGAAAACCGTGATCAAATTATCAAAGTGATAAGTGGTAAACCAGGCAACATGAGGAAGGTAACGCATAAATGCGTTCGAAACCGCTACCTAGCGTTTCCCAGGATTTAACAAAAACAAAAATGAATGTTCATCAGAGTTATGATGTATGAGAACCGATGTAACGCAATATCGATGTTAACGTGTGTTATTTTCTTTGCTTAATTCAAATGTAACCAGGATTTAACAAAAACAAAAATGAATATTCGCCGGAGTTATGATGTATGAGAACCGATGTAACGCAATATCAATGTTAACATGTTGTTATTTTCTTTGCTTATTTCAGATGTAACCAGGTTAAGATTGTAATACGTGCACGCGCGTCGTAAGAAATAACCGCCGAGAGTAAGGGCGGCTGATGGGATTCATGACAAAAAAAAAAAGGGGGGGCATTACTTTGTTTGAAAATTCGCCAGTGGCCAAATCGACCCCTGATAATTTTCAAAAGGGCGGACTGTTGTGTATATGCCCCCTTTTTATTTTTTTAATATTTTTTTTTTAAGAATTATTCTGCCAACATAGATAATATCGTTTTTTTTAATAGACGCGGCCACGTGGGAACGAACACGCCCCCACACTTCCACAGAGGCCCCCACACTTCCACAGATGCGCGCATACCTCATTTCAAAGGAAACAGGACATGAAAGGGGGGCAATAAGGTAATAAACTCCCCTAAATTCACACAAGAGGAACAAGGGAGGGGGGAATTGCAGGCGGGGGGTTGCAGAACCAGGAGACACGGAGGAAGAGATAATTATATTCTTAACAAAGAAACAGCATCGACAACAAAAAGCACAGATGGGTCTTTGAACCATGTTAAATACACAAGTTACCAACTCAACCATAAAGATTAAGCAAACAGTATCCATCCTCACTCCAATTGAAAACCAAAAGACAATCTGCACCAGAATCGCGACCCATCATTGTTAATTAAGTACTGACATTATTTACCTTTAAAGAATATCTACACGGCCGGGCCGAAGCATCAAAGAATAATTAGGGCATCTATTTCGCTCCAAAACAAATTCCTAGCCGGGATATCAGATCAAATAATCACAAGAAGTCGAATAATAAGTACGGAATTAAAATAGAAGAGGAATCAAGGGCGGAGAAGGCTCTCAAAATTAACCAAACACAACACCCATGGGAAGCGAGCAACACGACCGCCTTTGTCTTTCCGAGAGGATCTCCACACACAGGCACCAAGCCAGGAAATGACACCCATAAAGGTTGGGTCCCGATGAAACATCGTGAACACGGTTTCGGCATAACTGTGCAGATGGAACCAAGCAGCAAATAAGTTGCATTTCAACTTCCAAACCAAACCAACTTAAGCTGTGTGAGACAAAGGATGTGATCCCAGAGCAAGGGAGGTAATAATTAAGCTCGCTTAACGCGTAAGTTTTCGCGACAAATATTATTCAGTAACAAAACATGGATTCGAATGTTTTTTTATAACTCGACGCGAATCATCGGTCTGGCTAATGGATAACTTTGGTGGCACCGTCACGAGACCCCCACCCCTTTCTTCCAGAACGACACACACAGCTGTGTCTTCAAAGCTAATAAACACACGGACAAACACGCACGCGAAACACACGGACGGACACACACACGGACGCAGATGGTCCACCCCCACAGGAAGGTTTTATGACACAGCCTTTGAACAACTCGGGAAGCCGAGTGGAATTTTCCGATATAAACCGAAGGAAAATCCATACAAAGCATATCGTCCGGGCTTCGGCTCCAACACACATATCATCCGGGCTACGAGCCCATCTTCGGCTCCACCACAGATCGACAGGGGCTCTGGCCTCCATCACAGATCGTCAGGGGCTCTGGCCCCCATCACAGAGATCGTCCGGGCCACGAGCTCCACCAGAGATCATCCGGGCCACGAGCCCATCTTCGGCTCCACCACAGATCGACAGGGGCTCTGGCCTCCATCACAGATCGTCAGGGGCTCTGGCCCCCATCACAGAGATCGTCCGGGCCACGAGCTCCACCAGAGATCATCCGGGCCACGAGCCCATCTTCGGCTCCACCACAGATCGTCAAGAAGTTTTCATCATTGAGAATGACGAGGGTCGCGGAGTAGCGACGCGTAGCTACAAGCCGAGGTCTGCACCACCTGAGAAGAATCGCTACCCTGAGTCGCAGAGCTGCGAGTGAAGCCAACAAAGACGCCAACGTCCACCCTGCCACGAACGAAGCATCGCTCCTCGTCAGAGTGACGACCAGCGAACAACCCGCAGGAAAGGCGGAGATCGCTGAACGAGCGCCAACTTGCGCCACCTTGCGCCACCGTGCGCCACCGTGCACCACTTTGCGCTGAACGTGCGCCACCGTGCGCCACCGTGCGACACCGAGCGACAACGAGCGACACCCAGATCGACCAGCATCAACCCAAACCGACTCGTCATCCCGCCGTGGAGAAAAAGAGTCAAAGTCTTCTGAACGAGCGCCGCCGCTCACCTCACAGCGGAGAAAGTCTCAGCTGCCGCTCGCACAAACAACAGAGGTCGTATCGCTCCCCACATACAGACTCAAGAAAACACAGAGAAATCTTGTCAAACCAGTTTCCTTTGTCCCAGAATCTCGCCGAAGAGTTAATTAAAACAGAGCCAGATTCGCTCTCGCGCCCACACGCCCTCACCCACCATTGTATCAAACATTCCGTTAAAAAGGATTTTAGACTTGCCGATGAATCTATTGACATATACTTTCGCCTCTGGGATACAATAAGTGCTTTTTATTACCGCCATATGAAGTGTGTCATGCTTGTTTTCAAACTCGACCAGTCGCCGATTGTGATCAATACATGGGCGAACTAATGATGCCTGGTAGGAAAAGTAGAGGGTACAATTGATAGAAGTGTTTTTAGTCATTCAGTTCGTTAAATGCATAAGTGTTTATTCATTCATTTTAGTCAAATGCATAAGAGTTTGGTTATTCATATTAGTTAGTGCATAATATCGCAAATGCATAAGAATTTTAGTTATTCAATTTAGCTAAATACATAGTCTCGCAAATGCATAAGTGTTTATTCATTCATTTTAGTCAAATGCATAATCTCGTAATTGCATAAGAGTTTTGGTTATTCATATTAGTTAATGCATAATATCGCAAATGCATAAGAATTTTTAGTTATTCAATTTAGCTAAATGCATAAGTGTTTATTCATTCATTTTAGTCAAATGCATAAGAGTTTTCGTTATTCATATTGCATAATTGCATAATGTCACAACTGCATAAGTTTTTGTCGTTCATATTAGTTAATTGCATAATCTTGCCCATGAATTATTGACGCATGTTTGACCTGCATGATAGAATGTCACGTGCTTGTTAGAATAAAATTGTAATCCAGAAGCATATCGAGTGTTCCTTCCAAGTCCATGCAAAACCATCTTATTCATAAGAGCTGTATCCTGCGATGAGATATGAAAATGGAGACCTAAAATATTATAACACACACTAGGATAATCGGTAAATGAATCTATGATAATCGTGTTATCCTGATTGATAACTCTGGATAAACGAAACTAAGCAAATTATCATAACTGCACACATTAACATAATCGCAAGCCTCCGCATAAATTACTACGATTATCTCCGTGATTATCATAATTTATGCATATAATTACACGCATTATCATAATTTATGCGTATTAATACACACACTATCATAATTAATGCGATTTGCGCATTTTTCGGAAAATTATTAATTTTTATTATTTTCATCAAAATTTCATAATCACAACACATACAACAGGTGGACCGTGCGCTTCGTGGAAGATCAAACCCAGCGATCTTCTGCGAGGTGCATGTTTATGATAAGTATAACGCCACACAGCAATGTGATGCAACACACCCTCTGGCCTCCCTGTTTAATGAGCTGTGAAGAAGGATCGCTGCCCGAAACATCGCCCCCATTTATATATTATTATAATAATTTTAAGGCCGCAGTCTTGTTGGCAAATGTGTCGAGTTTTGTTGCTATTCGTGCCTTTGCGCCACCGCAGTGAATTGTTTCAGCAATGCGATGCAATCGGGTGGCGCGGTGGTAACACTCGTTCCTCACAGCCAGAATCCCCGCGTTCGACTCCTGACTCGGACTGCCTTTCTGTGCAGAGTTTGTATGTTTCCCCCCCCACCCCGATCTACAGGGGTTTTAACCCAGTAGCTTTCAGCTTTCCTTCACCCACAGTGCGGCAAATACTTCCACTCAAGCCCTGGCATCCCATCCCACCGGCGCGCAGGGAGAACGCTGCTCCGCCGTTCCCCGCAGTCGTCGTTCGTGATGGGACAGCCGAAGAAGACTTGCAGTGAGTAGCAGCTGCAGCGTTTACCAGGGTGGTCTCGGGTGCTCGAACTGCAGCAAGCGCGGCGAGCGCGCTAATCGCTCGGACCACGGCACCGTCACAGAGATTCGTCTCCAATTTTTTTTGGTTTTTAAATAGCTCCGCAACCGACCTGGAAGACGCTGGAGAGGTCGCGCAGGTTGAAGACGTAGTGGAACTTGACGGCGGTCGGCAGGAAGTTCTGGGCCACGCGCTGGTGCAGAGCGACGGCGGCCTGCACGAGGCTGGCGCCCGCCCGCACCACGGCCGGTACGAAGCCGCCCTGCTGGAGGTGTGCCGCCAGGATGCGGCTGTAGATGCCCTCCAGCGTCTCCGCGCCGGGGAAGTTCACCGCCAGCACCGTGAAGTGGCGCTGGCGGGTCGGACGGGCATACAGATGGAGAGACGGACGGACAGACGGATGGGGATGGGCGGATGGACATACAGACGGACAGATAGACAGACGGGCAGGCTGGTGAGTGGACGCGACATGTAATCCATGGCACTTGGTTAGGACCCCGTTCGCCCGATTCCCGTCGCCGCGTGAGAAATTATCGACGCCAATTTGCACGGTGGAATTTACACCACTGGTTCACCAATGAAGATGAGCGCTCTCCAACACCTCCCGAGCGCTCACTAAATGCAAATTCTGGAATATTCATCCTCAGCCAAGGGGTCGGTTTGTCTTACCCGCAGTTCCCGTCGCGGCGAATCACACTCTCTCAGCTGTGCTTTGTTTGCAGTGGCTGTAGTGGCGGTAGTGGGGTTGACAAGTTGTAGAATCACTACAACCAAATGAACAACTACAAATGTGTCCGAGGTACTTTTCAAATTGTCAAATTGCCCGAGCACGTTGACGGTGGGGGTGTGAGGAGGGCGGGGCGGAGGGCGGGTGCATCAATACAACCCACCTAATAACATGCCGACGTTGGGCCGACGTTGGGCGGACGTTGGGCTTACGTGGGTCCAACATTGCACGTTTTACTGGACGAGAATCCACATTAGATAGCAGTGGTACTAAACTAAACGATTTCTATTTTACCAGGTTTTATCCACTGAGCTGTAGAGCTCTTTTTCATAAGCGACCTGCCCACAAATGATAGCTCAACGAAGTGGCTCAAATACTCTGAGCGATTCTAAACGTGGAGGGAAAAAAACCGAGGACCCGGAGAAAAATGCACGCGACCAAGGGAAGAACATGCAAACCCCTAATATACAGGCATCATCAGGGTTGGGATTGAACCCACAACCTCCTGTTTACCAGGCGAGAGAGTAAACATCTTGCCACCAGGGCGCCCAAATTCCCGGATGGCATCTCAAGGCAAGAGCCTCAGGAGCCCAATCACCCTTTCCATCTTCCAAATAAAACATTCAAATATATTTAAAATAATATATATCCCACGAGTGAGACAGGTGGCAGGAGGCGAACCTGCAGGCGGGGGTTGATGGTGAAGCTGCCGGCCGTAGGGTTCATGCAGGCCACGTACTGACAGCCGTGAATCTCCTTGAGGCCCAGCTTCTGCCTGTCGTACCTGTGGTCACGCGACGTCGGCACAACGGCAATTCGCTGGTTTTAAAGGGGCACCCCGTGCACGAGCGTGGCCACGTTGGCCAATCCACTGCTGGAACGAGGCCCCCCCCCACCCCACCAGGGCTGCCCCCCTCCGCCCGGCCCACTGAACTTGCTTCACCACGCTGGTCAACGAGGGTTCGTGGAAGCAGCCGGTCAACAAAGACGAAGATCCCCTGTGTAGCCTTAAAAGACTGCTGGGGCAAGTGCTGTCAAGCGAGTAGCACCTATGAAGACCGGAACGGCACACGAGGGGGGTGGGTGGCCAGCACCGCGCCCGACCGCCTTTGTCTCCCCGTAGTGATGTTTACACACTGCACTAGGTACTCATTTGAGGCCGAGTGGACCTAGGGGAGGCCCTGGATCGGTTCAGATAATCGTCACTCGCGTTGAGCGTGAATGAAACTCAGGTCGCCGGGTTCATAGTGCAGCGCGCCAACCAATACACGACCGCTACACTAAGTACACACCGCTGCACACAGAGGCACGCACAGTCAATAACAGTGATAATTTAATCCTCTAGTTGGACAGATATTACGAAGGTGCCGCTGTGTTTCACAGACGCAGTCTGCAGTTATAGGGGGGTTTCGCCATGGGGAGGGGGGGGGGCGAGGCTACGTTGCCGTGCGTGTGAAATCCCAAATCGAGCGACTCTGCTCGTACAAATTTGGACCGTGAAACGCCGACGTGCGACGTTCACGATACTCATTGCGTGTGTGCGTTGCGAATGTTGGGGGGGGGGGGGGGGGGGGGGCGCGTCAATCGCCGCGTACTACGCTACGCGATCCCATAGCGTCCACCGCTAAGCGGGAGGCTGCCGCACGCACGCACGCAACAGCAACAGCAACCGCCATTCGCCACTAAGTGGCGGTGACGTCACCACGACGCTTGTGCCAGGCCAAGTGCACCTTGAGGCCACGTGAAGGTAACGCACGCACGCACACACGCACGCACGCCCACAGCGTTAACCCGGGGGGAGTTGTCCCGCCGGATCCGACACCGCGACCGCCGCCGAAGTGCGGCACACGCCAAGAGCACACCACCCCGGAGGGATGCCCACCAGTGGCCGTAGTCCAGGTGCTGGCGGATGAGCGTGTGGGGCTGCACCGTGCCGTAGTTGTCCACCTCCGGCATGTTCACGTCGTCCAGGAAGTAGACCATGCGCTTGTTGCCCGGGGGGCCGTAGTTGCGTCCGGCCTTCTTCTCCAGAGGCCTCTCGAGCACCCCTAAGAACAACAAGAAGGGAGAGTTGGGAGTGGGTGGGCAACACTGGACGTTCGTGACTTTCTGGATGTCTGTGAGAAAGAGTTTCTTAGCGCTCATCGGGATTCCTCCAGTATCAACAAATATTGGGATTCCGAATGCGGCAAAACTACTCAACTAAAACTACATTTACACTATGAGACCTCCTTTACCAGTGGCAAAATATAGTAGTAGGTTTTTACCCTTTAAACTGGTACAAAACTGACACCTGTATACAAGGCATCATGTTTGCAATAACCGCAACACAAGCAGTCAAAATGCAAACAAAAAGAAACAACTCTGATAATGGTAATTATATGTACTGTCCTTGAAGTCAACTTGCAAACATGATGCCTTGTATAAAGGTGTCAGTTTTGTACCAGTTTAAAGGTAAAAACCTACTAATAAAACGAAATTATTATGTTACCATGTAAGGCCCGCTGGGCTACACAGCACTTTTTCAGAAGTGACTTGGCCCACAAATGACAGCTCAACAAAGTGGCCTATTATCATCATCACATGGGAATTCATAGTCGCAGCCGAGTACTTTGAACACACGTTGATTCTAAATGTGGAAGGGGGGGGGAAGAAACGGAGGACCCGGATAAAAATCAACACGTCTACGGGGAGAGAAACATGCACGCTCCAAATATACAACAAGCGTCGGGGTCGGGATCGAATCCACGGCCTCCTGCATACGAGGCGAGGTAGTTAACATCTCGCCTCCGTGGCCAGAGACGTACGCGGTGCCGTACGCTTCACAGGGGCCGTTAAAGATCCGTGGTTCGCAACGAGTATGAGGCCTTTCATTCAGATTATGTCTTCTCGACAGACCTGTTCTCCACCTGAGGACGGCTGATTGCGTTGTGGCCGAAACGTCGTGAGAATTATTTTGTTATGTTTTATTTGTATTATTATTTTATTCTTATTTCCATTCTACGTGACTTTACCGAAAGAACCAAGAAGATGAATCCCTGCAGTCACGAAAGCTTTAAATCGAAAAGAGTATGAGGCCATCGTGTCCCAGTGACACCACGGTCTAAGATTTGAAAATGACACAGCAAAGTGGCCAAGTTGGCATTTCCTGTAGACACAGCGATCGATCATCATCGCCCGCCATCTGACTCGTCCTGGTCTCTCCCCAGAAAATAAAAGTTGATGCAGAGAAGAGGGAGAACGAGAGGCCACGTGTGTGGATTCTGCAACGATTTCCAAACGTGTGTTTGATCAGAGGGATGCTCTATGATCCATTCGTCCGGTTCCTGGTGGGATAAGGCCCATTGGAACACTCAGTTTTTTCATCCTCCACTCATTGTGTGGGCTCAGTCTCTACCAGACTCTGACTGTTGCGTCTCATCCGTCACACTGCGCACGAACTGCTGCAGGTCTCAACAACTCACTCACTCAGTAGCTCGCTCACCCTGTGACTCACTCATCCACTCACCTACCCACCCAATCACTCACTCACTCACCCACCCACCCAGTCACCCACCCACCCACACAGACACCAACCCCATCACCACACCGCAGGTCACAACACAATAAACAATCGCCGATTGTTTATTGTTTATTTATGTCTGTTAATTGTGATTAATTTTTTGATTGCGTGGTTGCACCGTGGGACCAAGAGAGAGGACTGTAATTTCATCTGTGTTGTATGTCATGCATGTAACACACTTGACAATAAAGTGACTTTAAGACTTTAAGAACACTTCTCTCGGTGACCAGCGTGGTGAAGTATGGTCAAACAACTCGTATCCCCCCCACCCACCCCCGGCGTGACTAACATGACACTGGGAGGGGCAGTGGAGGAGGGACGAAGGGCTCGACATGAATCTGGTTATAATTATCGTCAATGACGTCTAAACGACGTCGGTTGCAAAGCAGAGTTTGAAAAACAGAACAACAAACGCTCACTCGTCAAGGAATTAATTAACGGATTAGGAAATTGCAAAAAAGACGTTGAACGTCTGAAACTCAAGAGGCAATTATCGTTTCTAAATCAGCTCATGAGAGCCAACGTCAAAAAAGTTACAATTTTATTTTCCCAGCAAAAAATAAATAAAGAAAAATTGCCCTTTTTTTTACGAAGATTTTTTTGTTCTAATTCGCGTAAGTTATGCATCATTTTATTTTATTTACGACACCAATATTAATTGACGCGTTTCCATTTCATTGAAACTGTTCACGCAGTTTGGCAGGGTGGTGGGCGTCGGTCCGTAAAAGGGGTTGCCACCCGTCCTGGTTTCCCCGGGGACGCCCCCCCTGCTTTTTGCGGGAAATCTCGCCAGTTGTGTACGAATCGAGTGCATTTGACGCATAGTTCTCCCCTATTTCGATATTGAGAGAAATCCTGCCGCTACGTTAAGCGCCGGTTTTCTTGTACCTCGGACGCATGGCAACATTAGTGCGTTTATGACTCTGCTAATTTATAGCTTTCCGTGTGAATCTACGGCTCTCTTGGTGAGTCTATGGTTCTCTGTGTGAGTCTATTGGCTCTCTTGGTGAGTCTATGGTTCTCTGTGTGACTCTGTGGCTCTCTGTGTGAGTCTATGGTTATCTTGGTGAGTCTATGGCTCTCTGTGTGAGTCTATGGCTCTCTTGGTGAGTCTATGGTTCTCTGGGTGAGTCTATGACTCTCTGTGTGACTCTATGGCTCTCTGTGTGAGTCTATGGTTCTCTGTGTGAGTCTATGGCTCTCTTGGTGAGTCTATGGCTCTCTTGGTGAGTCTATGGTTCTCTGTGTGAGTCTATGGTTCTCTGTGTGAGTCTACGGCTCTCTGTGTGAGTCTATGGCTCTCTTGGTGAGTCTATGGTTCTCTGGGTGAGTCTATGACTCTCTTGGTGAGTCTATGGTTCTCTGGGTGAGTCTATGACTCTCTGTGTGACTCTATGGCTCTCTGTGTGAGTCTATGACTCTCTTGGTGAGTCTATGGTTCTCTGGGTGAGTCTATGGTTCTCTGGGTGAGTCTATGACTCTCTGTGTGACTCTATGGCTCTCTTGGTGAGTCTATGGTTCTCTGTGTGAGTCTATGACTCTCTGTGTGACTCTATGGCTCTCTGTGTGAGTCTATGGTTCTCTGGGTGAGTCTATGACTCTTTGTGTGACTCTATGGCTCTCTGTGTGAGTCTATGGTTCTCTGTGTGACTCTATGGCTCTCTGTGTGACTCTATGGCTCTCTGTGTGACTCTATGGCTGGTGAGTCTATGGTTCTCTGTGTGAGTCTGTGACTCTCTGTGTGAGTTTATGGCTCTCTTGGTGAGTCTATGGTTCTCTGTGTGAGTCTATGACTCTCTGTGTGAGTCTACGGCTCTCGATGGGGACAGAAACGCCACCTGTCCTGCTTTTCCCAGCATCGTCCTTCCCTGATGTAGCTGCCCTCAGAAATCTGTCCGTCTTCCCGGGACATTGAGCGTCACGCACTTTCTCCGGTTCACATGTGGAACCATGCACCACTCGAGGACAAATCCGATTGGCGCGGTCGGCCACGTGCGGCACGACAGAGCTTCCAGACGTGCATACGCACATGCGTGCCCATCCTCCTGTCCACTGCAGGCGTTGCGAGATCCCCTTCCTCTGCTTACGATACATCCCCCGGTACAGGTAGTCCCCGAGTTACGATGGTAGTCCCCGAGTTACGATGGTAGTCCCCGAGTTACGATGGTCCGACTTACGATATTTCGATCTTACGATGGCGATAATCGATACGACAAAATTGCCATCAACAACCTAACATCGTTCAAGTATGCAGACGACGGACAGAATCTTGGTGAGTACAGCACAATATGATACGTTACGATACGTACAATGCATGTATGACACGTAGCTTTAGCGATTTCATTTTAAGGTTACCACGATACGATACGTTCAATGCATGTGAAACGTTTTTATAGCAGATAGGATTGTTTCCTGAAAAAAACTTTATATTCAATTGCAGTTCATATAGGTGCAGTACAGTATTGTAATTAATAAATACATACATCTTCTTGGTTCTTTCGGTAAAGTCATGTAGAAGGGAAATAATAAAATAATAAAAATAAAACATAATAAAATAAAATACATACAGTATATTGTTTATACAGCACGGTACTGTAAATTGCTCTGTGTTGCTAAATTATCACCATTCTTTAAGACTTCTTGGTTAAGCTAGGCCATCTTCGACTTACGATATTTTCGACTTACGATGGCGGTCGTCGTAACGCATCTCCATCGTGAGTCGAGGACTACCGGTGTTTTTGTACCTCGGGAGGTGACAACCCTCGCTCAGCGAGTAGCGTATCCTCCCGTCGACCAGCAGCAGCAGAAAAAAAAAAGTACCGACAAGCAATTTCGTGGAAACCAATTAAAAAAAAAACCGCGCGTCCGTTGAAGGCACTTGCATACTCAACTGGCCGGCGTTATCTGTGCTTCATTAAGACCGATCCTATCTTTACAAGCGCCGCTCTGGGGAAATAAAGAGCCGGCGAAATGTATTCCCGTGGAAGTTGATGTTCTGTTTTATTCCGGTGACATTAAAGGACCTTTAAGGGGCAAAAAGGCTTTTGCCAGTGGAGCATGACTGCTCTAATTTAATTAACCCTACATCACCATATTAATCAGCACGGGGGGGGGGGGGATCGGGGGGTCCGGAGCATGAACTGTTTTGTGTTTTTGACCTTGGCGGAGACGGCTCGTCGAAAAAAGTTGCACGCGGCCCCCGCGCGTCCAAAGCATCCTCGCGCGCAGTTTACACCCCCCCCCCCCCAAACGTGGCGTCGATGCGGGAGGGTAGCAAAAAAAATGAAACGCGCTTTGCTAATGCGCAACCTCCTCTTTTCTTTGCCGGCGGAGAGCCTAAAGGTCACAGAGAATCTTAATAGGATGGAGCGCGGCCCGACACGGCATTCCGCATGAAGGGCAATGGTGGCTGCTCGCGACCGGACGTCGGGGTACTGACGAAGGATCGACGGGCAGCTCGTGTTCTGTCGGGGGAGTCACATGAACCGATGCGTTCAGTGCGTACGAACAACAAACGGAATCGACCCTCACACGCGCGATTCCACACACGCATCGCTACGAATTGGCAGAGTCCATTTTTAATTGACGCATCCGTGGCATCGCTACACGCCGTGGGAGACAGACGAACAGAATTTCATTCCTAACCCGTCCTGTCGTTCTCTCTCTCTCTCTCTCTGGCCTGAATCCGGGGAATTGCCCAATGGGCGATTCTTACAACGCACTGCACCAGCCAACGCCTTGACCTGTTCAACCTTCGATGGAAAGCTATCCTTCTTTCGTACGGTCCGATGTAGATGCAGAACAACAAAATGGCAATTTGACATTCAGGTGGTCAAGCCAGATAACCACGCCAGGAGTAGCATGGAGTTGGATCGCCATGACGTCTCCTTCGTATTTGTGGATGGGGGCATTGCGTCGTCACGCGTTGCACGATCTGTTCTGGATGACCACGGTCGCACACGACACGAGAGTTTTTAGTTTTTCATTTGTGCATCAGGTATCCCGCACCTACTGCTATGGTTTGTGCAGTGGCTGCCGTTTAGGGTGGACGTGCGTGCGCTTCGTGGGAAGATCGAAACCAAGGGATCTTCCGCGTGAGCTCTTTCACGAGGCGCTTGTTATGATAATTACAACACGATACGACACACTCCCGTCGTTACACGTTGTACGGGTCTGTTCTGGATGACAACGGTCGCACACTGCCGGAGAGGTTTTTTTTTGTATTGCTATTGCAAAGCGATGATCGAATACAACAACAGCAACAACAGCAGCAACAGCTCCTGGCTGGGAAGGGACTGGGGGGGGGGGGGCAGTTAGGAGATACACTTACGCTGCAGCATGGCGGAGGTGGTGTAGTAGTTCAGCGGCACGCTCGTGACCGCAGTAGTCGTCGGGCAGCGCGCCAAGGTGCTCGGCCACGAGCGCCGTCTTGCCCACGCCGGCGTTGCCCACGAGCAGCACGGGCTTGCCGCGCGACGCCAGCAGGCCCAGCAGGTAGCGCAGGCGCGCCGTCTCAGGCGGTGGGCACCACCACCGACTGCCACACGGGCGGCAGAGAGAGCGCGAGACAGAGAGAGAGGGGAGAGCCGCCAGCGTTATTATAGAACGGCTTCTCGTTTTACAACTGCTTTTTGTGTTTACATGCATGTGTGTTGAACTTTTTTCTTCTTGGTTCTTTCGGTAAAGTCACGTAGAATGGAAATCATAAAATAATAAAAATAAAACATAATAAAATAATTCTCACGACGTTTCGGCCACAACGCAAGCAGCCATCTTCAGGTGGAGAACAGGTCTGTCAAGTAGACAGAGTCTGAAGTCGAAATTTATGTTGAACTTCTTTTGCACCGACATAGCTAACCATGCTAATCGGAGGCGCGGGGGAAGGACAATACATGAAACAGATAAAGCAGTTATAAAGAAATGAGTTTTCAATCAAGATGATTGAAAAGTGCACAGTTCCAGCGGCTTCCTAATATCGGAAGGAAGAACGTTCCAGACGGCCGCAGAAGCGCATCTGGAAGCGCGCGATGCAGTGGCCACCGTCTTTGTTCAATGGTTAGCCAAAAGCTGCTACTGCGAGGATGACCCGAGTTCGCGTGATAGTTTATGTTCCTTGACGAGACCAGCCAAGGTATTGGGATTATACTGGTAGGAACCTCCTGGTTACACCAGTCCACAGGGGATTATTGTGTCCGTCGTGCAGGGAGGGGCTGGGTGGGGAGGGGCTGGGTGGGGAGGGGGGGTGGGGAGGGGCTGGGTGGGGAGGGTGGGGAGGGGCTGGGTGGGTGGGGGGAGGGGTGGGGCTGGGTGGGGAGGGGCTGGTCACCCCGTGGTGCCCTTATAAAACTCAACGTTTAACCTACTCACACCGGCTTGTGCCCGCCCTCACAGTCGGGCAATTTGCGGAATACACCACGCCGCCGTTGACCCTGGCCATTGACCGAGAAACCCAACGTTCCTACCAGCTCCCTCTGCAGGAATGTGTTTTTTGTGTGTGTTTTGTGTCGTCCTTCCCCCGCACCTCCGATTAGCGCGTTTGTCTACAGCACGGCGTAAAAGAAGTTCAACTTACACACACACAGATGCGGTGGCCGACTCTCGCAAATCACGTTGTGGGATCTTGAATGTTCACCGTGAGTAGAGGACGCATGATGTTTATTATTGTTTTGGTTAATACTCAACGCGGTAATAACCAGGACGCCTGCCAGATTTGATCCACGAGTCTCGAGTGCAACAAGTGCTTTGCCCCATGCCAGGCAGCTCGCCACGACGCTGCTGGTGATTGATTGAGTGAGTGGAGCTGCGAGTGAGTGGAGCTGCGAGTGGAGCTGTGAGTGAGTGGAGATGTCAGTGAGTGAGTGGAGCTGCGAGTGAGTGAGTGGAGCTGCGAGTGAGTGAGTGAGTGGAGATGTGAGTGGGTAGAGCTGTGAGTGAGTGGAGCTGTGAGTGAGTGGAGCTGTGAGTGGAGAAATGACGATGACGATACATCGGGTCCCCTGCATTGAGATGTTCGGTCACCCCCCGCTACTGAATCATTGCCATTGTTTGTCACACTTAAGGAGCGCAACTGTACTGCGCGTTTTTCAGGCTGTGCCGCGTGCCGTGACGGCACAATGTTCGGCGTTTTGGCTGCGCGGGATTTCATTTCATGTTTTCATTGCGCGCGTTTGTGCCGGGTTCGTGTGCCAGATTCGTCAATTTTTCAAAGGGTGCGGAGCCTTCTTTTGGGATGCAACATCGACGACAACGGCACGACTGGACAAAAAGAGAGAGAGAGAAAAAAGAAATACAAATAAGGAAACATTCACAGTGGTGGAAAACTCTGCGGCTTTTCCGGGGATCTTTTGATTCTTTTTTTGTGAAGCTCCGAGCGTCTGTTCAGCTATCCCTCCATCACGGCACGGGGGGGGGGGGGGGGTGAGACAAAGGGGGACGCTCATCCATCGCCATTGACCATTGAGGACGTGGGGGGAGGGGGCGGGCGGGGGCGGAGGGGGGAGGGCTGAGTGCGGGCCACAAGGAGCCTTGACTTTCAAAAATCTCCCCGCGACAGGTAGCTTTTATTTAAACCAATTAATTTTACGGCCGGCCGTGACCATTCCCCTGCTCTCGTTCGGCCGTGACGCCGCGTTAACCGGGGGGGGGGGGGGGGGGGGTTAAGGACGAACAGCCGGGCTGGACGAACACGCTTGGGCGAGCCCCATCAGCGCCTTTGTTAAAAAACCAATCGCTCTGCGGGGACATCCGCACGCCGCGTAGGTACTGCTACGCTGCGCGGTCTTGGCATAGTGCTGATGATGTCTGAAAAGGGGCAAAGACGTGTAAGGCGCACGGCTGAAGATTGACGCGCAAGGATCTTCGCGACAGATGTCATGGCGGTTAGCGCGCTACGCTATGGACCCGGCGAGCCGAGTTCGATTCACGCTCACGATCAATAATTGTGGCGAATTTTTTTAACCGGTCCTGGGCGTCCTCCTCTAGGTCAACTTAGCCTCAAGTGAGTACCTGGTGTGGTGTGTAAAACATCGCCACCAGGAAGGCAAAGGCGACCGGGCGTGGTGCTGACCACCCACCCACACCCTCGTGTGCCGTGTCAGCTTTCATAGGTGCTCGCTAACAGCACTTGCCGCAACAGTCCGTGAGAGGCTATGCGGGGAATCTTTGTCTTGTCCTGCCGTGCCCCCCTCCTTCACTCGGCACGACCAATTCATTAAGCTGTCACGTGATGAACAAACGTGGCCAAGTGATTACTGCTTCGGCACGCCCGGAGGACTGATGCGGAGGTGTGACCCAACAACAACAACAAAAACACCCTTCCATGCATCAGTTGCCGCATTGCTTCGCGGATAAACATTTTAAAATAAAAAGCAATTGCCGCTACATTGATAGATGGTCTTGTGCAAGAGTTGCTGACCTCTTCTGGTCTGGCTTCAACATTGTGGGCCCCATCACCAGTGCAGTGCTTTTGCAAAACCAACGACTGCTCTTGTTTCTTGTTAGATGGGTGGCCCATCGGATGATGTCAGAGTGCTCAACTCGTGGAACTGAGATCCTGGATTCAAATCCAAAGTCAATTCCAGGGCTCTACATTTACCATTGATCTGTGCCTATCGTAACGGACACTCGTGACAATCGATAGACATGCTAACCGACTGGCCCAAGATTACTCTCTGGCTTTCCGACGTCACACACGCAACGCACGCTCGCCCACGCACGCACACAAGTGTCAGAACGGGTACCGTAAGATCCGACCATGTCTGTCAGGTGCTCCCCTGAGCTGCTCATTACACACAAGAGTGCCGGTCAAGGAGCATAAACCATCACGGAAACTCCGGTCATCCTCGCAGCGGCTTCCTCGGTGCCATCAAACACAAATGGTCACCGCACCGTGCGCTTTCAGAAACTCATTTTTATTGAGCGCTGCTTTCTGTGTTTAATTTTCGATTTAAAGCTTTCGTGACTGCAGGGATTCATCTTCTTGGTTCTTTCGGTAAAGTCACGTGGAAGGTAAATAATAAAAAAAAATTATTGTGTTTTATTTTTATTATTTTATTATTTCCCTTCTACGTGACTTTACCGAAAGAACCAAGAAGAAGCTTTCTGCGTTTAGTTTGCCGTTCCCTGTTCCCCGCACCTGCGATCAGCACGGTTGGCTGCGCACGGTGTGAAAGAAGCTCAGCGTTGGAATGCGACGCGTGACGCCCACCTGCAGCGGCCTCTCCGGGTCCATGTCGAAGCTGCCGACGCGCTCGCTCCACGGCAGGAAGCGCCGCGAGGCCGGGTCGATGAAGTAGTCGAAGACGGTGCCCTGAGACGGCAGCTTCACCGTCTTCATCTCCTTGAGCCACCAGCGGCTGAACTCGGCGCGGTAATCGATCAGCTGCTCGCCCCCGCAGACCGCGGCAAGAGACAACGCGACGCACCGACGCGTCCCACGTCACTCGCGAGTCGCGTCCTGCCCCCGTCTATGTTACGCAACGTGCGTTGAACTTCTTTTGCGCCGAAGGGTCGAGGCGGTGTACACTGTGGGGGGGGGGGGGGGAATACCTGGTCATGGAAGAGGGCCCCTCCAAACGCCCAGATGCACGCGAACACGAAGTAGAGCTCGTAGAGCTCGCGCGGAGAGTCGGCCGGGGAGTTGAGTGGCGTGAGCAGGCAGTCGAGGAGAGAGCACAGCGTCTGGCACGGTGATACGAGACAAAGACAAAGGTCCACCCACCGCCGTATGGCCCTAACGGAATGTTGGGGCGAGCGCTTTGAAGGCCAGCACTGCGGGGTGGGTGGCCCATGACCGACACCACGCACGCCCTGGTCTCCCCCATGGGCGATGTTTACGACACACCGCACCAGGTGCTCATTTGAGGCCGAGTCATTAAAAACATTGTAATCTGGCGAGAACTCAAGAAAGACCAGGATCGTGAAACACGGGTGAGCCCGAGTGTTCAAGTTCAAGTTCATTTATTAGTTCGAGTTCATTTATTAGGTATAGCCCTGTGAGCCATTCGGCTCTTGAATCGGGTGCAACCGCAACAAACAAAAAATAAAAACATGAACAAGATAACATCGTAAAGTGAATATGTGACTAAGTGCAAACAGAAAATCCAAGAAAAGACAGCAAAATATTGCAGAAAAAGCACCGTACACCAACGCTTTGTGCAAAAATCCCAGTGGGATGCAAGTCAAACAACAACAACAACAACAACCACAAGACAACGTAGATTAAGACCATCAGTCTTACTCCGTACTACAACAAACACACATGGCCAAGCCAAAAAACTTTTCGAAATCACCAAAATAAAGCAATGAGTGGGGGTGGGGGGAGGGGGGGGGGGGGTCCAGCCACACCTGTATGATGCTGCACTCGGGCTGCGGTGTGATGGGCTTGAAATTGGAGCGGAGCTGCTCCAGGCAGGGCGGCACATACTTTTCGAACAGGATCGTGAGGTTGGCGCGCTCCGACTGCACCCGGCGGCCGTCGAGCCAGCTGGCGACGTACCTGCACCTCGGCGGCACGGGCAAAGTCGGGCCCCCCGCCGCCGATCAAATTTACCCAGCGGCCGAACACCCCCCACCCCTCCCCCCCCACCCCCATCAATACATCCTGAGATGCAGTGGCATTTAATAATCATATAATAGTTAATATTTGCAAGGCGCGTTTAATCCGTAGATCGCAATGCACCACGTATGGAAAGCAGAAAACAAACATAACCAGGGTGAACGGCTAGAACTAGAGGGGTAAAGGCCGGTTTAGAGAGGTGAGTTTTCAAGACAGACTTGAATTTCGCCTAATAGCGATTCTGATTGTCTTGCGAGCAAGGGCTTGGCAGCCGCACGATCGCCCTCGGAGTACCTTGGAAGAAGACGATCCGAATATCTCGGGGACCTCCGCTGGAGAATCACGATGGGTTCTAGATTTGAAGCTTTCGTGACTGCAAGGATTCATACTCTTAGTTCTTTCGGTAAAGTCACGTAGGTAAAAAATGAAATTAAAATTAATAAAAAATAAAATAATAAAAAATCACGACGTTTCGGAGGCAACACAAGTCTCCGTCATCAGGTGGGATCGTCACAGCCAGATTTGCTGCAGAAAAAATGGCTGTGACGGTCCCACCTGATGACGGAGACTTGTGTTGCCTCCGAAACGTCGTGATTTTTATTGTTTTATTTTTATTAATTTCATTTTTTACCTACGTGACTTTACCGAAAGAACTAAGAGTATGAATCACGATGGGATCGGTGCCTGTCAATATCGCGGGGCTAACCACGCCGAGTGCCTTGCAGGTCAGCGGGGTTGTACTCAGGCGGACTCGACACAGAGACACATCGTAAACATCGCCACAAAGTCGGCTGGCTGCACCATCCCCTCTCTCGTGTGCCCGCACCGGCACCTCGTAGGCGCCGCTCACCAACAGCCCTTGCCCCGACAGCCCGTTGAGACTATCAAACCGGGGGGACCTTTTTGCACTTTGCCTGTATGTGCGCGCGCGCGTGCAATGTGTGGGAGGCACGCACGGGTTCCAGCCCAGGTCCTGGGGGTTGACGTAGAGGATCCCGGCGCGCGACACGGTGGCCGGCGTGGCCGTGCGCAGGTGGCTGATCTCGAACAGCAGCCGCATCGAGGGCTTGAGCGGCACGCGCTCGTTACTGGCCAGGGTTAGCACCTGGGGCACGTGGGGGGGGGGGGCGAGGTTAAGGGGGAGGGGGGGTCCAGGGCAGGTGTAACGAGCGATGAGCGCCGCGAAGGAGCGAGCGACGAACAGCGTCATCACCTTGTTGTCGTCCATCACCGTGTTGAGGGACTCGATCCACATGGGGTCGATGTCTCCGTCCAGGACGAGCCACTTGGGCCCGTCATGCGACACGTTGGCTTGCTCCCTCATGATGCTGGAGAAGAGGCCTGGCCACCACCACACGCGCAAACGCGTCAACACAAAGGTGGGTCCCGTCGCGCGCTCGCGCTCGTGTGTGTGTGTGTATACGCGTATAGGTGTGCTCGCTTGCAGCGCTTGTCCCGGCAGCCTGCCCAGGTTACACGGGGGATCTTTGTCTTCGTGTCCGGGGAGCAGTGGCGTGGTGGTCAGCGCGCTGTACTCTGAACCCAGCGACCCGAGTTCGATTATGTGCATCGGTGCTTGGCCTCCCCTAGGTCGACTCAGCCTCAATAGAGCGCCTGGCGCGGTGTGTAAACATCGCCACTGGGGGAGACAAAGGCGGCCGGGCGTGGTGATGGCCACCCACCGCTTCATGAGCAGGTGCTCGCTAACAGCACTTGCCTTAGCAGTCTGTTAAAGGCGATACGGAGGGGGGGGGAATCTTTCTTGTACGTTGAAATTATTTTGCACAGTACGTAGCCAACCGTGCGAACCGGAGGTGCCCGTGTGAGTGGCAAAATAATGAAACAAAGATCCCCCGTATAGCCTGAACAGACTGTTGGGGCAAGTGCTGTTAGCGAGCACCTATGAAAGCCGACACGGCACACGAGGGGATGGGTGGCCAACACCATCCCCAGTGGCAATGTTTACACACCGCACCAGGCACTCATTTGAGGCTGAGTCGACCTAGGGGAGGCCCATGACCGGTTAAGATAATCGTCACCGGTGTTGGCTTTCCACGCGCCTCCGCAGCACGCGTACAGCGAACGTTCTCTTTGCGACGTGACGCAAGTTGTTTCTTTGCTCCTCTTGCTCTTCGCATCATTGCTGTGCTCACCGTCCCTTTGGCGACCCAGGTCCCTCTCGGAATGAGACCCATCCTGGTCTCAACTGGTTCGAGAAAATTATCCTCATGGCGGGACCCCGGGGTGTACCATAGTAGCCCAGCTCTCGCATAATGTTCGTGATGCAGTCACTTTTAATCTGTTGATGGTCGGCGACGCGGCAATCGACTCATCTCGACGAGCTGTACACGATGCAGCACCACTACGGTGCCGCGTACGAGCGTTCAGGGTATCGGCGCAATCGTCCTCGCTGCGTTTCGACATCGCGGAGTGTGGCACTGATGTCGGATTGATTGGTACCCCAGTCGCGGAGTTAAGTAACACCCCTGGGGAAAACTAGTGTCCCAGAAATAAAATATTGAATTGCCTCGGTCATTGTGTATTATTTGGTACCCCAGGGTACCGCCATAAGGATAACTTGTCCACCAAATGTGCACACACGTGTCCCTCCCGCTGCATGTCCAGCGCACGAGTCTTCCTCCGTATGACCACTGCACACGCGTTCCATCACACAGTTCCACGGCATATATCCACCACGCATGTCCACCATCACGTGTGACCATCCGTGAGGCACACATCACAAATGTCGACCAAAAAAGAGTCCATCATGTACCATCGCCCACATGCGTCCCCTACGTCAATTGCACGCATCTACCGTCCATTACGTACAGAGTGCTTGCCACAATTTCGATTTAAAGCTTTCGTGACTGCAGGGATTCATCTTCTTGGTTCTTTCGGTAAAGTCACGTAGAAGGGAAATAATACAATAATAAAAATAAAACATAATAAATAATGCTCACGACGTTTCGGCCACAACGCAAGCAGCCGTCCTCAGGTGAAGAACAGGTCTGTCAGAAAGACAGCGTCTGAATGAAGAACAGGTCTGTCTTTCCAACAGACCTGTTCTTCACCGGAAGACGGCTGCTTGCATTGTGGCCGAAACGTCATAAGAATTGTATTTAGTCATGTTTTTTTATTTTATTTTATTATTTCCCTTCTACGTGACTTTACCGAAAGAACCAAGAATATGCTTTTGCCACAAATTAACCGCGATACCTTGCAGCATAAACCGTCATCACGCAAATTCCGGTCATCCTCACAGCAGCAGCAGCAGCTTTTGGCTAACCATCGAACAAAGACGGTCACCGCATCGCACGCTTTCAGATGCGCTTCTCCGGCCGTCTGGAATGTTCTTCCGATATTAGGAACCTACTGGAGCTATGCACTTTTAAATATGAATTTGAAAACGAATTTCGTTAGAACTGCTTTTTGTGTTTAGTTTTTTGTCCTTCCTCCCCCCCTCCTCACACCTCCGATTAGCGCGGTTGGCTACGTGTTGTGCGAAAGTACACACACGTACACATCTACCACACATTCACCTTTGAGGTTCACCATTCCACTGCACATGGCCAGCGCACGTGACTGCAAAACGCTGACAATTTAAAATGACCCTCCCCCTATCCCCGTCGTGAGCAGCCTTCACCCGGATCTCTGCGTCTCACTGCTCCCACGTCCCGGGTGGTGCTTGTCCTACGCTCCGGCGTAAAAACGCTCTCGCGGTATTGATTCACGCCCCAAATAGGGCCCCCTAAGCGGTGCGCAGGTACAAAAAAAAAATGCCCTCGTTAAGATCATAGCCGTTTTACGCGGCGGTCAATTTCGGCACTTGAGACGGGGAAAAAAACGAAAAATCGATCGCCGATGGGTGCCGTGCAGCTCGCTAGTCGTGGCGGTTAAAAGCCATCGTGATGCTTTTCGGTGAGCGGCAGGGGGTAGGGCGCCGGTGGTAACGCTCACACCTCGGCCTGGGTTCGATTCCCGACGACTCGGGCCGCCTTTCCGTTGTGCGGTTTGTTTGTACGTCATCTCTCCCCAAGCGTTCTTTCGCATGGGGTTCCTCCAGGGTTCGACCGGTCGTCCTCCCGTGGCAAAAAAATTGGAAATAATAAAAATGCTCCATCTGACTGTAACCGTTATTGGGTCAAAATATCCCGTTGCTGAAAAATGACCGGCAAATTATTCCATTTAGATTACAACCATAGCAACGACGTCGCCTCCTACTGCAAAGCAAGACTAAAAACCACTTGGCAGGACCCTCCTCAAGAAGAGGCTTGAGGCTGTCCTGAGTAAACAAAAGGAATAAAGTCGGTTGACAGTGAGCTCGGTTAATGGTGTTGCGTTTAACGTTTCGCCTCCCATAGGACCCCATAGTTTCGACTAACGTTAACGTTTTGATTAACGGTGCGTTTGCGTGATACACGCAGGTTCCAAGTTTCAGCCAATCCGAACGCTCGTAAGTGGGTCTGAACCATGCCCTCAGCCAATCAGCGACGTCCATTTATGAGCATTCAGACCTCGGCTGGCTTCGTCTACATTGTGTTCTGTTTTGGCAGTGGAAACAGCTCTCTCTTCGATTAACAGTTATTTCGGTTAACGCTAGTTTTCGTGGAATGGATTAAAAATCTTAACCGAGGGACTACTCCAAACGCGGAGCATTTGCCATGATTTGCCGTCGTGATTCAAGAATTGATTCTCTGCCACTATGCTGCGTGGCAAGATCTGCGGTTGGCCCCTTGGATTGTGGGTGGGTTTAAGTGAACCGTTTAGAACGGTTACAATGCCAATTATTCATCCAGGAACGCCTCGACAAGTCTCAATGTCTTTTTTTTCAGGAGGGTCATGCAAAATAATTTTTGCACGGTTTTTCTGCTGCAGTGCGTGTAATCCCAATGGAGTAATTTCAGCATTGGGATGTTTTAGCCTTTACCGGTTGAGGAAGAGCGATACACACTAACTCCACACAGCAAGGCAGCCATGAACCTGGAGTCGAACCCAGGCTCCTGTTGCCACGTTGCACGAGCATTAGCGCTGTGCCGGCCCTACGTTCGGCTCAGCTCGCCAACCCAGGGGCTCATCGGCGACAGACTGCGTGCCGCCACTCACCATCCTTCCACTCCCGGGTGGCCGGGTGGATGAACCCAAAGAGCTCGTCGGTCGTGACGGCCTTGGGGTTGAGGTCGTTCCACACCGGCCGTAGCTTCATGTTGCCGTACGTCCGGTGCAGCGTTCGCAGAATCTGCCCGGGAGGGGGGGGGGGGGAGAAGGTGGCCGGGGGCAGCGAGCGCGCGGTGTCACGTGATCGTCAGGGACATTGACGTGCGATCGTCACGTGATCGTTACTTGATCGTCGCGTGATCGTCACGTGATCGTCACGCGATCATCACCGCACTTCTGCGTGCACCACAGGCGTTCGGTGGGTCGCGTTTGGGTGAGGCAAAGTGTGAGTACTCCCACCCCTTCCAACAAATATGAGCAGCGTGGAATAGTAGGCTCAAATAACCATTGAGAATTCCCTCTAGTCAATGCCGGGCTGAAATTGCAGGGCTGTGCTTTAACCTTCACCAAACTAGACCCCACGAGCCACCGCCGCCGCTTACTCACCTGGCTCTTGCCAGTTCCAGCGTTCCCGACCACGAACACCGAGTGCCTCACCGCCAGCAGCTCCTCCAACTGCACCACCTGCAGGGAAAGAAACAGGGCAAAGACGTCGCGCACGGGCTCCGTAAATCTTTCCCAACACGCCGATGGACCTTGGTGGCACCACCCGCCCCGCTCGCCCGCCCGCCCACCTTGAGCACGAAGTTCTCCTCGGGCTGCAGGTGCAGCTCGCCAACCGAGCGCCGCACCATCTGCTCGAGGTCGGCGTTGCGCCGCCGCGGCACGTCCAGTGCGGGGAACAGGTCGCCGATGAGGCCCATGAAGACGGGGAGGTCGTCCGTGACGATTTTGGGCAGGTTGAAGTCGCGCAGAGCCCGCATCAGCACCTGCGCGTCCGCCGGTCCGCACAACGCGTTTGTTCGTTCGTTCGCCCGTCAACGCGCCGTGACGGCGAGGCGCGCACGGGGCCCGGCGACGTTTCCGCGTTCGCTGGGATGCAATAAAACCCCCCCACGCCACGCTCGCGAGCGCAAAGTTGGCCATCACCTGGTCCTCGGGCCTGGTCCTGTCTCCCCTGCGGAGCGAGCCGGCCACCACCAACACGGACTTGATGGCGCGGAGACCCCAGTCGTAGTGGTCCTGGGGCAGGTGGCGGCAAGGCCAAGCGGGGATTCACGACCAGATTGTGCCCTTGCACGTTAACCAGATGACGTGGGCGTACGTACGTACATGTGTAGTGCATGTCGAACTGATTTCGCTCCGTACGTAGCCAACCGTGGCTAGTCGAAGGTGCGGTGGGGGGGAAGGACAGGAAACTAAACATGAAACGGAGTTCTGAAGAAATGAGTATTTGAATCTGGATGTGAACGTGCAATTGCTCCAGTGGCTTCCTAAGATCGGAAGGAAGAGCGTTCAAGACGGACGCAGTAAGCGCGTCTGAAAGCGCGCGATGCGGTGACCGCCGTCAGCTAAAAGCCGCTGCTGCTGCTGCAACGATGGCCGGAGCTCGCGTGACGATGGTTCATGCTCCTTGACGCGGCCAGCCAAGGTGTCGTGCTTTTAGCGAGTTCAGGCGGCGTGCCAGGTGGCTCGCTCACCTGCTTGGAGAGCAGCTCGCGACACAGCGTGTACAGGGCGATGAACTTGCGCGCCAGGAGATGGGCGTCCAGGAACCCCTCGGCCACCAGCATGATCTCACAGATGAGCTCAAAGTCGGGCACCACCATCGCGCACGGCCTGCGTGTGGGGGCGGGGGTACGGGGGTGGTGGTGGTGGTGGGGGGGGGGGAGACGGGGGGTGGGAGGGGTGGGATGTTGGAGGGTCCTATAATTAATTATTGTTGTGACCGGCTTGTCGTTTTGCTGTTGTGATCTGGTTGTGGTTGTTGCTGTGATCCGGTTGTTGTTGTTGTTGATCTGGTTGTTGTTATTTCTATTGTAATCTGGTTGTTGTTGTGATCTGGTTGTTGTTGTTGTGATCTGGTTGTTGTTATTTCTATTGTGATCTGGTTGTGGTTGTTGTTGTGATCTGGTTGTTGTTCTTGTGGTTGTTGTCATCTGGTTGTGGTTGTTGTGATATGGTTGTTGTCATCTGGTTGTGGTTGTTGTGATATGGTTGTGGTTATTGTGATCCGGTTGTGGTTTTTGTGATCTGGTTGTTGTTGTTATTGCTATTGTGATCTGGTTGTGATCTGGTTGTGGTTGTTGTGATCTGGTTGTTATTTCTGTTGTAAGATGGTTGTGATTATAGTTATCTGGTTGTGGTTGTATGGATGGATATTGAACTTCTCTCACACCATACGTAGCCGGCTGTGCTAATCGGAGGTGCGAGGGAAGGACAACAAACTAAACACGTAAAGCAGTTGTATTATAAATGGTTGTTGTTATTGTTGTTGTGATCTGGTTGTTGTTGTTGTTGTGATGTGGTTGCTGATGCCGGGGTAACTTGCCTGCTGCTTCATCTCATCAACCTTGACAATTGCAATTGCGATGTGGGTCTGAGTTGCCTTGCTACGATGATAACCACACCGTGGTGATGGGTACAACAATGCCAACTGTGACGACGTTGGCAATGACGATTATGATGACGATGACGACGATGACGACGATGACGATGATGACGATGATGACGATGATGACAACGATGACGATGATGACAACGATGACGATGATGACGATGATGACAACGAACCTGAAGAGAGCCTTGAGGTTCTCAGGAAGCTCCGTGCGTCCCGCGTAGCCCGGGTTCATCGTGATGAAGATTCCGACTGACGGCTTCAGGTCGATCTCCTCCCCCAGAAACAGGAACCTGGGGGTGCCACACGGCGACACGGTGACAGGGCGACACGGTTACACGGCGACACAGTCCACGGTGGTGAGATGTTAACTACCTCGTCTGATATACAGGAGTTCGTAGCTTCGATCCCGACCATGGCGACTGAATATTTGGAGTTTCCATGTATCTCTCCCCGTGATCGTGTGGATTTTTCTCCACATCCTCCGGTTTTCACCTCCACATTAAGAATCAGCATCCGCGTTTAGAGTTTTTGGCTGCTATAAATGTCCACATGATAAGCCACTTCTCACTGGGCTATCATTTGTGATGGCTAAGACGCTTCCGAAAAAGAGCTTAATAGCTCAGTGGGCCTTACCTGGCAAAATAAAAATAGTTCTGTTTCCTTTTGTTCAATACCCTCGCAAACTCGCGACTGCCAGCCCTGACGCGCGCATCCATACATACGGACACAAGCATCCGTGCGCTTGCGTGCGAGCCCCGTACCGTTTCCGCTTGTTGCGGATCGCATCCTGGATGGTCTTCACCTGCACGGCCACCACGGACAGCACCTCCACCGCGATGCGGTTGAACTCGTCGAAGCAGCCCCACGCGCCCGTCTGCGCCAGCCCCTTGTAGATGTTGCCAATGGACTGTGGGGGGGAGGGAGTGGGGGGGTTAGCGCACTGGGGAGCCAAGTGCCTCTATGCTAGTGCCCCTCTGCTAGTGCCCCTCTGCTAGTGCCACGTAGGGGTGCGGCCTGGGGGTCTGGCAATTATTTTTCTTTCTCTTCTTCTGTCGTACGGCTGATGGTGTAGATGGCAGAGCAACAGCTACAATTTCGCATTCGGTGCGGTCGAGCCGGATAACCGCGTCAGGAGTAGAGCATCGCTGTGATGTCTCCTTCGTATTTGTGGATCGGGCATTTGCGTCATTGTAGATTGTGATGATCTGTTTTAGATGACCACAGTCGCACACTTACTGGAGAGGTTTACATGTTCCATCTGCGTGTCTACTGCCACGGTTTGTGCAGTGGATGCAGTTCAGGGTGGACCATGAGCTTCGTGGAAAATCAAGCCCAGCGATCTTCTGCGAGTTCATATATTCAACATCGGCGATGTTCGCCGCGAGCGGGAATCGAACCTACGTTGCCGGTATCTTAACGTAGTGCGCTAACCACTCCACTACCCCCCCCCACCACACACAAAGGAAAAGGTCCCCCGTATAAGCTTAATAGACTGTTAGGACAAGTACTGTTGGCGAGAAGCACCGATCAAGGCCGGCACGCACAGGAGGGGGTGGGTGGCCAACACCACGCCCGGCTGCCTTTGTCTCCCTAGTGGCGATGTTTACACACCACACCAGGTACTCATTTGAGGCTGAGTCGACCTAGGGGAGGCCCAGGACCGGTTCAGATAATCGTCACCGGTGTTGGCCGTGAGCAGGAATCGAACCCGGGTCGCCGGGTTCATAGCGCAGCGTGCTAACCGCTACACCACCGCTCCCCACTTCACGCACAAAGACAAAGATTCCCTGTGTAGCCTTAACAGACTGCAGGGGCAAAGACACAAACAACAACAATAACCGCCATTCGCCACTAAGTGGCGGTGACGTCACCATGACGATTGTGCCACACACACACACGAGTTCTCACCTTGTAGTCCATCTGCTCGGAGCAGTTGAACACGTAGACCATGATGCCAAGGGCACGGCCCAGGTCCTTTGTGGTCTCCGTTTTGCCCGTGCCGGCCGGCCCCGCCGGCGCCCCGCTCATCGTCAGGTGCAGGGACTGAGTCAGCGTGATGTAGCACCTTGGGTGGACATCCATCAGTTAAAAACAAAGCAAAAATGTGTTTACAACTTCATTTATTCCACCAGGTAAGGCCCATCGAGCTATGCAGCTCTTTTTCAGAAGCGACCTGGCCACAAATGATAGGCCAGTGAGAGGTGGCTTATTGTGTGGACATTTATAGTGGCCAAATACTCTCAACGCGTGTTTCCAAATGCGGGGGGAAAATCCGGAGGACCCGGAGGGGAATCCAAGCGACCACGGGGAGGGAGATGCACAAACTCCAAATGTCACAGGCGTCTTAGTCGGTCGTTGACCTCCTGCATACCAGGCGAGGTAGTTGCCATCTTGCCACCACGGCGCCCCAATCCAAGTTGGTGAATTACCATCGCTTGCAATGCCACAAGCCGATTGTAATGCAACAGAACGAGGCGACCGCCAGAGATCCCCTACGCAAACAATGCACACAGTGGTGGAGCGTGCAGATTGGCGAAGATGGCAGTCGGGCAAGTGGCTCAAACCCATCTGTGCGGTGCTTGGGGTGTTATCTCCGCGTGCGCGCTGCGAGTATTTTTATGGATCGCTGCATCTCACGCGAAGCCAAACACTCGCCCGTCGAATTGACCAAACGTCCGAACGCAGGACCCTCCTGAGAAGTCTTGAGGCTTAGCGAGGCTTCCTTGGGTAAAAAAGAATAAAGGGCTACACCTGCATTAAAAAAATCAACACACTTATCAACAAGTGTGCAGTATATTATTGGTTCTTTCGGTAAAGTCGCTTCGAAGGGAAACAATAAAATAATACAAATATAAAACAATACAAATTCTCACGATGTTTCGACTGCAACACAAGCAATCATCATCAGGTGTGTGATTGCTTGTGTTGCAGTCGAAACGTCGTAAAATTTTTATTGTTTTATATTTGTACTATTTTATTGTTTCCCTTCTACGTGACTTTACCGAAAGAACCAAGAATATGAATCCCTGCAGTCAGAAAAGCTTTAAATGAAAAGTGTGCAGTATATTTAGAGTTTGCGTGTTCTCCCCGTGGTCGCGTGGATTTTTCTCCGGGTCCCCCGGTTTTTCTCACCACATTTAGAATCAGTGTCACGCGTTCACAGTATATGGCTGCTGCTATAAATTGCCATGCGGTCGGCCACTTCGTTGACCTATCATTTGTGATGGCCAGATCGCTTCTGAAAAGAGCTACACAGCTCGGTGACCCTTTACCTGGTAAAATAACCAAAATAGTTTTTTTTAAGTTTTCATGGCTTTCAACAAAACTCCTAAACAGCCCCGTGCTACGAAGCGGTGCCATTGCCCGACTCTTGTCTCGTCGGGGCCACACGCGGCATCGTTGACGAGCGCGTCTGTCTGTCGAACGCGCTTGTGCACCGCCACCGCTGCTGCCGCCGCCGGTGCAGGAGCCAAACAGCAACAGCGGCGGCGGCGGCGGGGGGCATCGCCGTGCGATCGTTTCAACCGGCTTCCAAACGGTGACGCGGAGCCGCACCGGTCGGTGAGCGGCGTGATGACAAGCCGCGGCGTGTTGCCCAGGTACTCGTACGAGTAGAGGAACTGCGCGTCGCAGATGTTGGCGAAGCAGTGTCCCGCCGCCTCGTCCCAGCGGTGCCGCAGCTGGGAGAGCCAGGGGAACGCCTGCGCACTCGTCACCTGCAGCAGCAGCAGCAGCAGGAGAAGCAGCAGTGTCGGCAGCGCACGGTTGGGGCGGGGGCGGGGGGGGGGTTGTCAAGCCGGCACCGCGTGCAAACGCTCGTTGATCGGCCTGTAACATGATAATTGGTTTTTTACCCTTCTATCTGGCAACAAAACTGACACCTTTTTTTACAAGGAGTCATGTTTGCATAGACCACAATACCTGTAGTCATAATGCAAACAAAAAACATAACTCTGATAATATATGCACTGTCCTTGAAGTTGATTGGTCCACACCCGAGACAGCTTTCCTTAGAGCATAGTCTCACATGGGTTGGACCAGATGACGCCAAAAGGCGCACAACTCAAAGACAATGCACCATCAGAGTATGAGAGCTCGGGGTAAGCATTTACACCATTGGAACCTCATTTGCCAGTAGAAAAATATGATAATTGTTTTTTTACCCTTCTATCTGGCAACAAAACTGACACCTTTTTTTACAAGGCCTGTAACAGTTTCATATATAAAGGTTGGCAGAGCTCGGGTAAATCTTCCGCGCAGGGTTGCCGCGTGGCTGCCGCCTTCCCGCTCGGTTGTAGTTCATCGTCGTGACTCCGAGTCGTTCCCCTCTCTCCCTCTTCTACGAGAGCGAGGAGCGAACGCTGTGCGGCGGTGTTTTCGGAATTTAAATTATTTCGTTGTTATTATTATAATATCGCGGCTCTGGATCCTGGATATGAGTTTGGTCTCATTCGCGAGAGTGTGCTCATGAGCGAGCGTGTGAGCAAGCGAGTGAGATGGAAATTCCGGTGAGCCTACTCTAACATGCAAGTGACCTGCATCACCAAAACGACCAAATAGCAACACATACAATGCAAAGAGTACGTCAAGAAAGTTAACAGAAATCGACAGAAAACCCCCCAAAAAACAACTGCAATAACTTGAAGAATCGTAACCACATGGCTGTCAACCCCTTATCAGTGCCCTACCTTATTACAGACCAATTCAGGATCTTATTGGCCACCCCATGACCTTATGAATCTCAACGTTTCATCCTACAAAGTCCCATCACAAGAGAGAAACACAAATAGACAATACTTGTTTTTGCCTGTGTTGAAACGGCTGTATGCCGTATGGACCTGAAAACTCGATTTCCCTGTACAAGAATACGGGGTGAACCGTGTGGGTTGACATGGTATGGAACCATTGCACGAGCCATAGCATCCTCGCGGCGCAAATCGTTGCCCGCTGGAGGGGCACCTTCTGCGCGACGAGCTTGGCCACGACGTCGCGGGCGTGCACGTCGATGGTGCAGATCGTCATGATCTTCTGCCGGTCGCCGGCGCTCAGATCCCCCAGTAGCATCGTGATGAGGGCGTTCAGCTGCGCCACCTGGACACGCGAGCGTGCACGCACACACGGACCGCTCACGCACGCAGCGGGCACCCCCATGAGGCGCTGCAATATGCTGAATTGGGGCCACTCAAATCACCCACTCACCCATTCATCCACCCACCCATTCAACCACCCACCCACCCACTTAACTACTCACCCAGCCACCCACTCACCCACCCACCCACTTAACCACTCACCCAGCCACTGATCCACCCACCCACTCAACCACCCACCCACTCACCCACCCACCCAGCCACCCACCCACCCACTCAACCACTCACTCACCCAGCCGCTCACCCACCCAGCCACTCACCACACTCACACATCCACTCTCTCTCTGCGCAAGACAGGGGGAGAGCACACAAACCCCACGCAAAAAGTCAGGAATTGAACCCGGGGGAGGGGAGGGGATGGGGAGGAGACCCATGTCGCCACGAGCGGTAACCGCCCACGCTACTGCCACCCTGCCGCCCCAACCGTCAAGTCGTTCCGTCTCCCGGTGTGAACCGAGGGCGGCCCCGGGCGGGCAACGGCCACCGCGGTCCGCCGCACCTGCTTCTTGCCGTAGTCCTTGAGTGCCGTCTCGAAGCCCTCCTCCAGGCGGTCGAAGGCGATGCCCACGTCGGTCGCCCACCAGACCTGCGAGGCGGCGAGCGCCGGCTGCGCGGGGAAGTCGAAGAGCCACTGCTCGCGCGCCTTGTCCTCGTGCGCCGCCACCGCCTCCGCGATCTCGCGCCGGATTGTCTCGCGCATCGCGCCCTCCAGGCGGCCGAGCCACGTCTCCACCTGCCCGCCAGCCCGCCCCGCACGCGCACACGCGCGCTTTCGGTGAAGTTTGAATTTTGAAAAAAATAAAAAATACGTGTTTATTGGTGCACGACGGCCCGTGAACATCATGTTGGTGGTTGACAATTGTTCCGCGGGGGAACCGACGGTGCCAGGCCAAGCGCCAGCGGCTCGCCAGCGCCGGCGCTGGCACCGCACCTGTCCGATGCAGTGGCAGGGGCCGTCGAAGGCCACGTACTCCCCCTCGCCGCTGAACATCCCGAGCGCCGTGCGCCCGTCGCGGCCCTGCTCCGGGTCGGCCTCCTCCAGGCGCAGGTCGGCCATGCTGTCGAACAGCTTGGGCAGGTGGCGCGTCACCTGCGCGGGGGACACGGACGGCGTCATCGCTGGTGTCATAATCACAACTTTAGAGTGGAGCGCCGGGGTGGAGGGGGCGGGCGGCCACATCTCCACACTGCTTTTGTGATTTGCACGGTTGGCTATGTACGGTGCGAAAGAAGTTCAACAAACATACATGCAATATATGCATTATTGAAATAGAGTTCTTCTTGGTTCTTTCGGTAAAGTCACGTAGAAGGGAAGTAATAAAATAATAAAAATAAAACATAATAAAACAATTCTCACGACGTTTCGGCCACAACGCAAGCAGCCGTCCTCAGGTGAAAAAAAAATGAAATAGAGTTGTTGTTTACTCACAGCTACCGGTGCGTGTGTGTGTGCGTGTGTGCGTGCATGCGTGTGTGCGTGCATGCGTGTGTGCGTGTGTACGTGTGTACGTGTGTACGTGCGTGCGTGCGTGTGTGCGTGTGCCGACCGCTGCCAGCTGTGGTTGGGGGGAATGGAGCGATGGAGATCTTGTTGACGAAGTTGTAATTGATTTATGTACGGAGATCGCGTCGTCGTTGTTGTTGTTGTTTACTCACAGCTACCGGTGCGTGCGTGTGTGTGCGTGTGCCGAGCGGTTGTGTAGCGGTTAGCGCGCTGCGCTATGAACCCGGCGACCCGGGTTCGATTCCCGCTCACGGCCAACACCAGTGACGATTATCTGAACCGGTCCTGGGCCTCCCCTAGGTCGACTCGGTGTGTAAACATCACCACTAGGGAGACAAAGGCGGTCGGGCGTGGTGCTGGTCACCCACCCACTCGTGTACCGTTGCGGCCTTCATAGGTGCTCGCTAACAGCACTTGCCCCTACAGTCTGCTAAGGCTACACGGGGGATATTTATATTTGTGCCGACCGCTACCAGCTGTGGCTGCGTGCCCTTGGAGAGGATGTCCAGGAGGTCTGCGGCGGAGACGAAGTAGAAGCGGGGGAAGGCGAGGCGCTTCGTCTCCAGGTACTCTGCCAGGGCCTTCTCGCACAGCGCCAGCCTGGAGGGGCAGCGGGGAACCCGGCACGTGACCGCGGCGGTCACGTGACACGGTGGCCGTCACTATCATCATCACGATCACAATCACGATCGCCATCATCGCCATCATTGCCACCATTGCCACAACCACCGTCATCGCCATCATCACCACGATCACCATCAAACTCCACTGGGAGAGAAACACGCAAACTCCAGATATGCAACAGGTGTCAGGATCGGGATCGAACCCACCGACCTCCTGCAGACCAGGCGAGGCAGACAACATCTCCCAGCCACCGTGGCTTGCCGTGGCAGCGGGTGAACCCAAGATGCCGACGGCGACGATGGGCGACGACGTCGCGTCGCGGCCAGCGTGCCGCGGGAGCGAGCGAGTCAGCGAGTGAGTCAGCGAGCGAGTTAGTGAGCAAGCGAGCAAGCGAGCGAGTGAGCGAGTGAGCGCTCACCTCTGCTGCAGCGTCTCCAGTTTCCCGAGCAGCCCCTCCCGGTTCGTGGCCGCGATCACGTTCCTCGTCCTCTCCGACTCGGTCATCAGCTCCTGCCGTGCGGCGACGACGACGAGACGACAGGGGGGGGGGGGGAGGAAGTGTTGATTCATTATTCGTCGTCATCATCCTCATCATCTGTCTACCCACTGCTGGATGAAGGCCTCCCCACCCCCCCAACGCTCACAACCCTGCGATGCAATATTCTGATCGCACGACACAGCCAACGTCAAACGAACCGCGGTGCATGCCTCGACCGCGAGAGCTGGCTGAAGGGTGGTGGGGGCTATGTTTGTATGTTCAACTTCTTTCGCACCATCGTACGAAGCCAACCGTGCTAATTGGAGGTGCAGGGGATGGAAAACAAACGAAACACAAACAGCAGTTCAAACGAAACTCGTTTTTTAAAAATCTAGATGATTTAAAATAGCATTGCTCCAGTGGCTTCCTAATATCAGAAGGTTCCAGACAGCCGCAGAGCGTTCCAGACGGCCGCAGAAGGCCATCTGAAAGCGCACGATGCAAGTGACCGTCCAGCCAAAAATCGCCACTGCGAGGATGGTTTACTCACCTGGGTTTATTACCCCCCCATCATCACCACTCACAAAGGTGGGTGGGCGGGGTGGGTGGGGGGGGGCGAGGGGGGCGGGGTACAACTTCCCTGAGCCCACCTTGAAGTCGGCGTCAATGCCCTCGAAGCGCTTGCTGTCGGCAGGCAGCTGAGCCCGAATGTCGGCCGAGCCGATGAAGATGCTCTCCAGGTGCGCCCAGGTGCGCTGCGCCTCTAGCCAAACGGACACGACCGCGTCGGCCGCCGTCAGCCGCCGCTGCCACGTAGACACCTCCTCCAGGAAGAACTCCACGTGCTTGCTCGCCAGGATGGCTTGCAGGGCCACCTGCGGGCGGAGCGCGGGAGACGAGCTGTCGAGCAGCTGCGGTGGTCGCGCTGCTGACGGGCGCACGGTGGCTCGAATGCGGCTGGGAGGAGACATGGCAACTGGGAGGAGACACGGCTCCGGCGGTCGGCAATCTGCAGCTCAGGAGCCGCGTGGGCCTCTTTATGTGTGTGTGTGCGCGTGTTCATTCACGTGCATTGCGGCTCTTGAAATATTGAGTTTTGTACCAAATTCGGACAAAATGGCTTTTCTTGTTGTTTCGTTGCTGACCCCTGATCTAAGCCCAGAGCGGTTGGCCAGGGAATAAATTCCGTTTGGTGAGGGGTACTTTTTTTTTCAGAAGCAACATGCCCACAAATGATAGCTCAACAAAGTGGCTAAATTGCGTGAAAATTTATATCAGCCAAATAATCCAAGCGCGCCCGTTCTAAATGCGGAGAAAAAAACCGGAGGATACGGAGAAAAATCCACGCGGCTACGGGGGGAGAGACACGCAAACTCTATATGTGCAGGCATCGTCTGGCGTCGGGATCGAACCCACAACCTCCTGCATACTAGGCGAGAGAGATAACATCTCGCCACGGTGGCGCCTTGCAATTAGAAGCCAGTCAGTCGGGTTGATTGATGAATCCAGCACTCACCGATTCACTCACTCACAAATTCGCTCGCTCACTCACCGATCGACTCACTCACCAATCGACTCACTCACCAATCGACTCACTCACCAATCGGCTCACTCACCAATCGACTCACTCACCAATCGACTCACTCACCGATTCGCTCTCTCACCAATCGACTCACTCACCAATCGACTCACTCACCAATCGACTCACTCACCAATCGACTCACTCACCAATCGACTCACTCACCAATTCGCTCACTCACCAATCGACTCACTCACTGATTCGCTAACTCACCAATCGACTCACTCACCGATTCGCTCACTCACCAATCGACTCACTCACCGATTCGCTCACTCACCGATTCGCTCACTCACCAATCGACTCACTCACCAATCGACTCACTCACCAATCGACTCACTCACCAATCGACTCACTCACCGATTCGCTCACTCACCAATCGACTCACTCACCAATTCGCTCACTCACCAGCGGTCAGGTGACCCCCTCCTAATCACTCTTTCCTTCCTACTACGACAATCAGTACTGTTTCCCCGTGAACTTCACTCAATGATTCCTTCACCTGTGTCGGTCAGGACTTGGTCTACCCGACTGTCACCTACTCACCCATTCACTCACCCTCCATCTCACTCACTCACCCATTCACACACTCACCCACCTACTCTACACCCACAGTCACGAACTCAAGCTCCCGCTCACTCACCCACCCACTTTACCCGCTCACTCACTCACTCACGGCACCGCTCCACTTTTGGAATTACCTCTCCCCATCATCGTCATCGTCTCTTTTCCTCGGCTCGTTTCGCCCTTGCACGATTCAATAAACTGGTGTCGCGCTCTTATCTAAAGCAACTCTCATTGTGCTGTTTGTTGCTGACCTCTGGACGTTTTGGGCCCTCTGGGCCTGTGCTCAGGAACTGTGTTTAAAAAAAGCAAAACAAAGGCACGCACACAAATGCCCATGTGTCCACCGCTACATTGGCACAGATCCACCGTGCACACACGTGTGTCCACCGTGCACACGTGCATGTCCACCGCGCGCACACGCGTGTTCACCGTGCACAGATGCATGTCCACCACGCACACACGCGTGCCCAACGCGCGCACATGCATGTCCACTGTTCGCACACGCGTGTCCACTGTGCACACACGCGTGTCCACCGTGTATTTCCGCAACACGTGTCCACCACACGCGTCCACAATTGCCCACACGTCACCACCCACCGCCTGTGATCACTCCGCCAGAGAGGTCCACCGCGTACGTGCGTCCACCACGATTGTCCACCGCACACACACACATCCAACAATCAGTAACGGTCGTTACAGTTTTTGGTTTTGTTTAAATGACAATCGCCGAACCTGGTTCTCCTCCAAGGTCTCGATGAGCTCCTCGTCAGACTTGAGGAGCGGTGTCCCCGTGCGGTGGTGCTGCTCGTACGAGAATTCCATGGCCGTCCACGTTTGCCGGATCTCGGCGAGGACCTGAGATCGCACGACGACGACGACGGCGGAGCGACAAGGGGGCATCGAACAAAAAAACCTCGGAAGGGGACGCGACGAAACTACTTCTGAAATTGACGCAGAGATAAACAAAACTCAAAACTGTCACTGAGAGCCATTTGAGATTGAAAAGCTTGGAAGAGGGCAAATTAAAGATGCGACGCGGGTGAAGCTTCGCTGGTGGAATGTTGACCTCTTGGTTCGGAAAGGTCACGATTTTCACCACCTCCATCTCGATTTATTACAACAACAAAATTACCTCAACACATTCATCAACAACACCGCATGTGGGCTTAAGAGGAAAATGATATAACAGGTGACGTCAGAGCGATGCGCAAACCCGGCTCAACACTGTTGGATGCCGGTGACGGACGTGCTCCAGCGTGCCAGCCAGCCAGCAAAACTTTTTTTTAACAACAAAGTGTGATCACGCAAATGCTTGCTCACCCCAGTGCTGGTGCCATGGGCCTCGAATAAAGGAAGCTCCAGAGAGTCTTTCTGAGAGTATATTTTGGCCTACTCTTCCACGCTGGCCAAACACCGTGAAAGGGGCACACGCGACCCTGCCAATTTGAGTGTGGCGGACAAATTTACGCGACTGGGTGTACAAAAGCGTGCGGGGTGATTCCGGGAGACGGAACTGGTGGGGGCTGGATTGTCATTACCGCACAGCACCACCCCCGATGTGCCGTGCGTTACTCGTGTATGCGCTTTGCTTTCGTAAAAATTAATCCACTCTCACGAGTACAACCCGATGCAACTACCATGGGCCTAGGAAATCCACTTTAAAACATCGACGGCGCGACGCCTCGTCTACGAGCCCGTGCGTTTCACCCCGTCAAGTCCAACGGAAGTCTATTTTAACTATTTGTTAACTATTTTAACATTACCAAGGCCCACTGAGCTATATAGTTATTTTCTAGAAGCGACCTGGCCCACAAATGATAGCTCAACGAAGTGGCTTATCATCACGTGGGAATGTATAGCAGCCCAAAGTCTCTGAACACTTGACGCTGATCCTGAATGCGGTAGGGACCCGGGGAAAAATTCACACGACCACGGAGAGACGGACACACATGTAAACTCCAAATATACAGCAGCAGGCATCAGGGTCGGGATAGAACCCACGATCTCCTGCATACCAGGCCAGGTAGTTAACATCTCACCACGGAGAGAGAGACAAGCAAACTACAAACATACAGCAGGCGTCAGGGTCAGGATCGAACCCACGATCTCCTGTATACCAGGCGAGGTAGTTAGCATCTCACCACGGGGAGAGAGAGAAACGTAAACTCCAAATATACAGCAGCAGGCGTCAGGGTCGGGATAGAACCCACGATCTCCTGTATATCAGGCGAGTTAGTTAACATCTCACCACGGGGAGAGAGAGACACGCAAACTCCAATATCAGCAGGTCAGGGTCGTTAACATCTCACCACGGGGAGAGAGAGACACGCAAACTCCAAATATACAGCAGGCGTCAGGGTCGGGATAGAACCCACGATCTCCTGTATACCAAGCGAGGTAGATAACATCTCACCACGGGGAGAGAGAGAAACGCAAACTCCAAATATGCAGCATCAGGCGTCAGGGTCGGGATAGAACCCACGATCTCCTGTATACCAGGCGAGGTAGTTAACATCTCACCACGGGGAGAGAAAGAAACGCAAACTCCAAATATGCAGCATCAGGCGTCAGGGTCGGGATAGAACCCACGACCTCCTGCATACCAGGCGAGGCAGCTAAGTCCCCCCCATCACCCCCGCCCCCCCTACCCCATCGCTCCATCCCTACCCACCGCCACCCCTCACCTTCTCGATGGACATCTCCTTGACGGCTCTGTCCACGACGTTCTTCACCTCCTCCTCCACGCGGTGCAGCTGCAGCGCGAGCAGCTCGGCCAGCGTCGTGTCGTCGCACATCTCCAACGTCACCTGGCGGCAGAGGAGCAACCGTGAGTGGCGCCACCGACGACGCCGACGTTACGTGACCAACGTCGCCGGGACGTTGGGGGGGGCGGGGTTCCTCGCTCGTTTGCGAGAGATTATCGGCTGAGAGTCAAGCCGATGATGATGATGGTGATGATGATAACCGATGAGAACCTGAAACCAGCATTTGCTGCTCGTGTGTTCGAACCGAAACCGAAAGCCGAACACAAATAAGATTTGTTCTTCCGGAAGCAAAACCTCCCAAGCGAATGATTTGGTAATTGTCGGTTTCGGTAAAACAAAAATAAATATTTGTTATTGAATCGCGCTTTGTATCTGGGCTAGTGTCATAACTGCTTCCAAACCGCCACTTTTTTCAAATGTTCTTGCTGTGGTTTTCACACCTGATGATGATTGCTTGTGTTGCAATCGAAACGTCGTGAGAATTTAATTGGTCTATTTTTATTATTTTATTATTTCCATTCTACGTGACTTTACCGAAAGAACCAAGAATATGCTTAAATCGGTTTTGGGTTAACCTATCATCTTGGATTGGTTTGATCATAACTTTCTTCAGCTAAATGTGAACAAACGCAGAAGTACGAACGCAGGGTGTGTGTGTGCGTGCGTGTATTTTGTGCACGGTGGCGTCGCGGTTAACGCCCTGCGCTACAAACCCGGCGACCCAAGCTCCTCTCCCGCTCACGGCCACCAAACACCAGCGTCGGTTATCTGAACCGGTCCCTTGGCCTCCCCCAGGTCGACTCAGCCTCAAATGAGGACTTGCCGCGGCGTTTAAAAACATTGCCGCCGGGGAGACAAATGCTGCCGAGCGTGACGCTGCCCACGCCACCCCATCGCTCGCTCAGAGCACTTTCCCCCGAAGGCCTGCGTAGACTACACGGGGGACCTCTATCTGTGTCACCTGCAAGGCGCCCATGAGCTGCAGCCAGTGGCGGTCGCGGATCGCCGGGTTCTGCAGCTCGGTGACCGCTCGCAGCGAGGTCAGCGTGTTCCGCACCAGCGCGTCGAGACCGGCGTAGACGTCCCATGCACGCACCTCCTTGTCCAGGGTGCGCACCTCCTGCCCGGTCACCGGGAAGGACAATTAATATTTATTTATATTCGTATGTAGACAAGAAAGAAACACCTGGATTTGGATGCCACTCTGGCGTAATGGTTATCAAAACCGGGGACGGGTCGTCGCTGCTTTGCAAAACGAATCCGATGAGAATAAAAACAAAAGAGAATTCGAAAACTGATACGGAACAATTCGTCGCACGAAAAAAAATCCAGACGAAATAAATGGGCGATTGAACGTACACACGCCGGCGAAACCGAGGCGCCCCGGGGGGTGGCCGCTCGCTCACCTTGGCGAAGCGTCGGAGCTCCGAGTCCATGTGGTCCACGTTGATCTGCCGCCACTGGGTCCCGGTCCAGTCATCTATGCTCGTCTGAGGGCACAAACGGTGCAGAGTGACCGCGCGAAGCAAGCCCGGGCTCTACTCTGCGGGCACGTCAGCGTGATGTGTGCATGCATGTTGAACTTCTTACGCACCATACATAGGCAACCGTGCAGCGGTGTAGCGGTTAGCTCAGCACGCTACAAACCCGGCGAACCGAGTTCCATTCCCTGTTCACGGCCAACACCGGTGATGATAATCTGAACCGGGCAAGAGCCTCCCCTAGGTCGACTCAGCCTCAAATTAGTACCTGGAGTGGTGTGTAAACATCGCCGCTGGGGAGACAAAGGCGGGCCGGGCATGGTGTAATTTTGGCCACCCACCACCTCGTGTGCCATTCAGGCCTTCATAGGTGCTACTCGCTGACAGACCCCTGCCCCAACAGTCTGTTAAGGCTACACGGGGGGATCTTTGTCTTTGGATGTTGAAAGTCTTTTGCATCGTACTTAGGCAACCGTGCTAATTAGAAATTAACAAATGAATTCCCCCGCTGTTATTACATCGCCACGATGTCCGAATTCACTTTGGCAACCATCTCTCCGAGGTCATTAAAATGAGCACCACTTTGTGGGAAGTCAGCATCGGTTGCCCAATGGAATTACAGTACTCGCGCATGCCGTAGGAATGTGGAATTTCCACCACAGGCTCATTGTTGTAAATGAGAGATGAGTACCAGCCCCACTTCTTGCACGGGGTGGGGGGGGGGGGGGGAGAAAACTGAATTTCCTGCAGATTTCATGGTCCTTGCCAAAGGAATGTGGAAGATTCACCGGTGGCGAAAGAGCCCCAACAGAGGTCTCGGTGACCTCTGCTCCGTCGTCACGTGAGTGAGAAAACACAGCGCTGTATATCCTAAGGCAGCGGTCGGGAACCTATGGCTCGCGAGCCATATATGGCTCTTCCAGTGACGGCATATGGCTCCCAGACAATTTTGAGTTGAAAAAAATAAAAAAATAAAAATAAAAATAAAATCAGTTTGGAACTGATTTTAAAATACTTGTGATATTGCTTAATAATACTGTGTCATTTTAAAGTAAACAGAAATTAGTTTTGAAGATAAATTTCACGGGTCACGGGTCCAGTCAAAAAGGTTCCCGACCCCTGTCCTAAGGTGTGACTGGTCCCTGCCATCGGAGTGTAGAGTTTCCACCACGGGCTCAAGACCACCAATAATGTACGGCAGGTGGCTAACATAAATAAGCAGTCAATATGCCTCCTTCCCACATTTGTCTCTCTATAAAGTGTAAGTGGACGCTGCCCTGCGACCTTGGAGTGGGAAAACAGGCGCGACCGATCCCCGCCATGCAAATGTGGAATCTCCACCACTGCATCATCGAGACCACCAAAGTACCATAGGTGAGTGGCGCCCAATAACGCGATGAAATTGTCGACACTTGGCCGCGAGCGACATGGGGTGGCTGCAAGATGTTATCTCCCTCGCCCGGTATACAGGAGGTCGTGGGTTCGATTCCGACCCTGCCGCCTGCTGCTGTATATTTGGAGTTTGCGTCTCTCTCTCATCATGATTACGGTGGATATAAGATGTTAACTCCCTCGCCTGGTATACAGGAGGTCGTGGGTTCGAGCCCAACCCCGAGGCCTGCTGCTGTATATTTGGAGTTTGCGTGTCTCTCTCTCTATGCCCATGGCCGCGTGGATTTTTCTCCGAGTCCTCCGGTTTCTTTTTTCCCCTCCACACTTACAATCAACGTCACGCGTTTCGAGTCTTCTCCTTCCGTGTTGCCAATGTAGACGCAGAACAACAGCTGCCATTTCACCTTTTAGAGCATTTGACCGCCACAAATTTCCACAAGACGAGAGGCCAACTTTGTCGAGCTATAATTTGTGGCAGCTCAGTGGTTGGGCCCGACTTGCTAAACAATTAAAAAGTTGAATAGTTCACAGGGCTCCGGGCAGAGGTCGCAAACAGGTTTTGATTCCTTACCTGTACCCGTACCCGGCCGCACCAGGGTCGCAAACGGGTACCCGTACCCGTACCCGGCCATACCCGTACCCTACCCGTATCCGGCCGGGTACGGGTAGGGTACGGGTATCGGGTAGGGTACGGGTATCGGGTAGGGTACGGGTATCGGGTAGGGTACGGGTATCGGGTACCCGGTTGCGACCTCTGGCTCCGGGAGGATTGTCTGCGCCGCCGCTCACCCTGACGAGGCTCGCGAGGTCCCACACGGACTTGAGCTGCGAGGCCTCACGCCGGCACAGCCGCAGGGCCTTGAAGTCAGGCACGCCGACCTCGAAGAGCGCCGCCGACTCCTGCAGGGAGGCCATCTCCCTCTCCAGAGCCAGGATCTCGCGGTTCACCTGGGGGTGGAAGGGGGGTTTGGCGGGGGGGGGGGGGAGCGGTGGTGCAGCGGTTAACGAGCTGCGTTATTCACGTGCATCGCGGCTCTTGAAAACTTTTTGATTCACCCGAATAGATTTTTGCACCGAATTCGAACAAAAAAAAATGTCTCTTCTTGTTATTTTGGTTGCCGACCCCTGACCCTAGGGCGACTCGGACGTACGCCCGGGGTTCGGGCTGCGGCAAACCTGGCGACTCCGAGGCAAGTGCGCGTGTGCGCACGTCTGACGGTCATCTAATTCAGCCAACCCGCAAAACACCTGGGGTCTGTCCCGTGACCTCCTGCCAGCGGCAAGCCTTCCACACTTCTCGCGGCGGCCTCAAAGTTCACCGAGCCTGGCACGGAGCTCTACGGTGGCGACGTCGCCGCCACTCAGTGGCGGATGGGCACAGTTGTTGTTGTTGTTGTTGTTTTGTGTGTGTGGGTTGTCAACGCGCACCTTGTCCAGCGTGGCGTATGGCTGTGCCGAGTTGTAGGCAAACGGAGCCTCCGCTCGAAACCACTCGCGGAATCCCTGCTGCCTCGACTGCACCACACACGCACGCACATGCGCACACACGCACGTATGAGCACGCACCGATCACTCGGGGCCAGCGCAACCAACGCTCGCTCGGGGCCAGATTATTTTGGTGGGAAGTCCAGGGCTGTGATTATCCGACGTTGCGTTAGCTCGTCGACTCAGCGGAGGCGACGAGCTAACGCATATGACGGGCGACCGACGCTGTACAAGTTTTCACGACTGAAAGCTTCGCGTAAGCAACAAAAAACAAACGCACGGATTCACGCTCCGCAAAAGCGACGGCGACGGGACGGAACGACACGCAACGAAAACGAAGAAGAAAAATGCAGAAGCGTAAACAAACAAACGCACGTATGTCTGTGTGTGTGTGTCTGTATGTGTGTGTGTCTGTATATCTGTATGTGTGTATGTGTCAGTGTGTATGTGTATATGTGTGTATGTGTGTATGTCTGTGTGTGTATGTGTGTATGTCTGTATGTGTGTATGTGTGTATGTGTGTATGTGTGTGTGTCTGTATGTCTGTGTGTGTGTGTATATATGTGTGTATGTGTGTATGTGTGTGTGTGTCTGTATGTATGTGTGTATGTATGTGTGTATGTGTGTGTGTCTGTATGTCTGTATGTGTGTGTGTGTCTGTATGTCTGTATGTGTGTCTGCCTGTATGTGTGTATGTGTGTATGTGTGTGTGTCTGCCTGTATGTGTGTATGTGTGTGTGTCTGTATGTATGTATGTGTGTATGTATGTGTGTGTGTGTCTGTATGTGTGTATGTGTGTGTGTGTCTGTATGTATGTGTGTATATGTGTATGTACGTGTGTTGAACTTCGTTCGCACCGCACGTAGACAACCACAATAATCAGAAGTGCGGGGGAAGGACAACAAACTAAACGCAAAACAGCAGTTCTAAAGAAGTGAGTTTTCAATCTACATGATTTAAAAGTGCATAGCTCCAGTGGCTTCCTAGTGTCGGTATAGATCGCCGCAGTAGCGCATCTGACCGCGATGCAAGTGACCGTCTTTGTTCGATGGCAGCCAAAAGCCGCTGCCGCTGCTGCTGCGAAAGATGACCGGAGTTTGCGTGAAGATGGCTTATGCTCCTTGACGCGATCAGCAAAGGTACAATCTTAATTTTGGAGCTTTCGTGGCTGCAGGAATTATTCTTTGGTTCTTTCGGTAAAGTCACGTATAAAGATAAAATAATAAGCCTGCGTACTTTTCCCTACCCCCTCCCTCTCGCTGCCTCCGCCCCCCTCTGTCTATTTAAGGCCACCCCACAGAGACGATCACCCCTCTCTGTACCTGTGTTGCTCTCTCTGTGTATCTTGGTGATATCTGTCTGCTTACATGTCTGTCTATAGTTTTCTGGTTAGATTATATGTCGCTATTTCATTATACCTGATGATGATTGCTTGGGTTGCAATCGAAACGTCGTATGCTATTATTTAATTTATTATTTTATCTTCATACGTGACTTTACCAAAAGAGCCAAAGAATCAGCAAAGGTGTTGCGGTTCATTCGTGGAGCTCGTACGTTCTCTCTTCCACCGGTTTTCTTTAGCAGTGCAAGGACAAAAACGAAATCGAAACATCTCAAGGGCTCACGTCGAACTTGACACATTTCTGCCGGATGATGGTGACGCGCTGGCTCTGCATCGGCGCCACCTCGTGTTTCACCGTGACGGCCATCTTCTTCAGCCCGTTCCACTTCTCCGGCAACTCCTGCACGCAGGCGCGACGACTCGCGGTTATCATCATCGTCATCATCGATCATGTATGTTTGTAGAGCTTTGCACCGTACGTAGCCAACAGTGTCAATCATCGTCGTCGTCGTCGTCGTCGACCGTGGTCTATCCACTGCTGGATGAAGGCCCCTGGAAGCTGTTGCACATTTCGCCGCGTGTGTGTGCGCGAGTCCCATCCTCGGGCATCGCCATCGCATGCGGTCATCGTCGTTCTGGTTGTCGTCATCGTCGTCGTCGTCATCGTCGTCATCGTCATCATCATCGACGTCATCGTCGTCATCATCGTCGTCATCGTCGTCGCCATCGTCATTGTCGTCATCGTTATCATCGACACAAGGCAACTCAGACCCATGTGGTGTTTGTCATTGTCGATGTTGATGAGATGAGCAGCAGGCAAGTTACTCCGGCACCAGTAGCTACATGACGACAGAAATAATAATAATAACAACGACAACAACCAGATCGCAACAACAATCACATCACAACAGAAATAACAACCACCACATTATAACAGTAATAACAACAACAATCAGATGAAAACAACAACAATCACATCACAAAGTAACAACAACCAGATCACAACAACAACGACCAGATAGCAACAACCAGATCACAACAACAACCAGATAACAACAACCAGATCACAACAATTACATCACAGCAAGAACAACCAGATCACAACAACCAGATCACAACAACAACTACGAGACACCACCAGGCGACCCTATCCTGTATTCATGTTGAACTTCTTTCGCACCGTAAGTCACCAACCGTTCTACATCGGAGGTGCAGGGGAAGAACTCCAAACACACGGCCACGCTGAGCACAGTCCTAGACCGTGGTGAGCGAGCGAGCGAGTGTGAGTACAACGAACAAATCACAACAACAACATTGGAACAACAGTAACACCAACAACAACAACAGACAAAGATCCCCCGTAAAGCCTGTAACAGACTGTTGGGGCAAGTGCCGTTAGCGAACACCTATGAAGGCCGGCACAACACACGAGGGGGTGGAGTGGCCAGCACCACGTCCGGCCGCCTTTGTCTCCCAGGTGGTGATGTTTCTACACACCGCACAAGGTACTCACTTGAGGCCGAGTCAACCTATGGGAGGCCCGGGACCCGTTCAAATAATCGTCACTGGTGTTGGCCGTGAGCGGGAATCGAACCCGGGTCGCCAGGTTCGTAGTGCAGCGCGCTAACCGCTACACCACCGCTCCCCATGGCTGATGCGTACCCGGGTCGCCGGGTTCGTAGCAGCTCATTAACCGCTGCGCCACTGCTCAACAACATCGACAACAACCGTAACAACGCACGGCAAGGCCAAACGCCAACGGCCCGCGAATACGGGCGGGCGGGCGGGCAGGTGGGCGGGCGGGTGGGCAGGTGGGCGGGCGGGCGGGCAGGCGGGCAGGCGGGCGGGCAGGCGGGCAGGCGGGCGGGCAGGTGGGCAGGCGGGTGGGCAGGTGGGCAGGCGGGCGGGCAGGTGGTCACCTCGAGCTGCACGTGCACGCTGTCGGGCAGCCGCTGCCCGTAGAGCAGCAGCAGCTCGATGGTGTCGTGCAGCGGCTGGAAGAGGCAGTCGGTGGCCGTCTGGCGGTCGCGCACGGCCATCAGGTGCATCATGGTCTCCACGAGGCCCTCGTAGTCGTCGGCGCGGAGCTCCCTGCGCAGGCCCGCCTCCGTCACCGCGATGAACTCCTCCAGCTCCGCCAGGCTGGTGGCGACGACGGCGACGATCGTTACCGTTGTCTATGCGGTACGATGATGATGATTGTTGTCTATTCAGCATGATAATGATGATCGTTATCGTTGTCTATTCGGAGAGACAACGATTGTTGTCTATTCATGATGATGATGATCGTTACCGTTGTCTATTCGGTGCGATGATGATTGTTGTCTATTCAGCATGATGATGATGATCGTTACCGTTGTCTATGCGGTGCGATGATGATTGTTGTCTATTCAGCATGATGATGATGATGATCGTTATTGTTGTCTATTCAGCATGATGATCGTTACCATTGTCTATTCAGCATGATGATGATGATGATCGTTACAATTGTCTATTCGGTGCGATGATGATTGTTGTCTATTCAGCATGATGATGATGATGATCGTTACCGTTGTCTATTCAGCATGATGATCGTTACCATTGTCTATTCGGCACAATGATGATCGTTACCATTGTCTATTCAGCATGATGATGATGATCGTTACCGTTGTCTATTCGGAGAGACAGTGATTGTTGTCTATTTGGCATGATGATGATGATGATCATTAGAGGTGTCTATTCGATGCGACGATGATTGTTGTTAATGCGGCATGATAACGATCGTTGTCTATGCGGAGCGATGATCGGAATCTATTCGGTTAGATGATTGTTATTTGTATCTATTCGGCGTGATGATCGTTTTCGCTATCTATTCGGCACTCGCGCACCGCCTACGTAGCTACCAATCTATCTCTCTCTCATCCAATTTGCGTATGTTGGTCTATCTGTTACCCATTGATCTGTATGTTACTGCCTGTCTACATGTGTGCCTTACACTACCTTCTGAGCCAGCTTATCCACCTGTCCGACCTATCCACGTTTCCACGTATCTACCTCTGCTCGTACCAAACGGCAGCGCTGATGATGCATCAGACGTCGGTGACCTAACCTGTCCCCACCCCGCCCCCCACAACCCCCATGACCCCCGCGACCCCTGCGACCTCCGCAACCTGTCGGTGACGTGATGGATGAGGTGCTCCTTGAACATCCAGCTCCAGCGGCGGACGATGTTGAGGAGGGCCGTCTTGAACGGGCGGACGTCGACCCGCAGCCACGAGTCGATGACTCGCGCGTCCTCCAGCGCGGCCACGCGGGCGTGAAGCTGCTCGTAGACGTCGATCTGCGGGGGGGGGGGGGGTGGGGGGGGTGCGACGGTGTGACGTTTCTCGGCTACGCTCCTTTACCCGACCCCCCCCCCCGGCGCGTTCCTCTACGCCGCCGTGGGCTCCCAGCGTCCCTGACTGCGACTCCCTCCGCCGCCCTGATGATGCGCGCGACCCAGTCTCGCTCGATCGCTCCGGCTCCCTTCTCGCTCCCCGTCACCGCTGGAACCAATTCCGACCGCAGCCACGTCGAGCAATCATCTTGAGCACAACAACGACGAGCTGCAGCTTCCGTTCTTCCCTTGAACCGGCCTCCATCTCACACCCCGAGCCCATCCTGCTGCTACTACTCCCTTCCCCCGACCCCCAGCTTTGACTAGGCCTACACCAACTTCTATCACTACCCCAATCCCTATTACTACCCCAACCCCTACCACTACCCCAACTCTTATCGCTACCCCCAACTCCTATCACTACCCCCAACCCCTACCACTACCCCAATCCTTATTACTACCCCCAAACCTATCACTACCCCTATCACTACCACTACCCCCACCCCTACCACTACCACTACCCCCACTCCTACCCCTACCACTACCCCTACCACTACCCCCACTCCTACCACTACCCCTACCACTACCCCCACCCCTATCACTACCCCCACCCCCCCCACCGCTAACCTGCTCCTTGAAGGCCTGCAGGCCCGGCGGGGCCTCGGGAACGCCGTCGTCGGCGTGGGCCTCGACCTCGCCGGCGGAGAGCGCGTGGCCATAGCGCAGGAACTGGCGCAGGAACTGGCGGCGGTCGTCGCTCCAGAGGAAGGCGAAGGGCGCCGTGGCGGCTGCGCCCAGCTGGGCGCGAGCCCGCGCCGCCGCCGCCGCAGCGCGGGCCGAGATCTCCTGGCGCAGCTCGGCCAGGTCCAACATGTCCTCCATGTCCTGCTGCTCGGGGGGGGGGGGGGGCGGGGGGGGGGCGACGTGAGCGTGTTGAACTACGAACCCGGCGGGCCGAGTTCGATTCTCGCTCGCAGCCAACGACAGTGACGAGTATCTGAACCGGTCCTGGGCCTCACCCTAGGTCGACTCGGCCTCAGATGAGTACCTGGTGCGGTGTGTAAACATCGCCACTGGGGAGACAAAGGCGGTCGGGCGTGGTGCTGGCCACCCACCCCCTTGTGTACTGTTCCGGCATTCATAGGTGCCCGCTAACAGCACTTGCCCCAACAATCTATTAAAGGCTATATGGGGGATCTTTATCTTTTTGTTTCGTGTAATAAATGCACGCACACCGCCACAACGATCATCACCACCACCACCAGCACTTCAACCACCACTATCACCACTGCCGCCACCCACCACAATTACCGCCCTCATCACCACCGTTACCACCACCTTCACCCCCCCTTATCACCGCCACCGCCACCATCACCACCACTACCACCACCTTCACCACCCTTATCACCACCACGACCGCCACCACTACCGTCACTATGAGCAATTTGACGAGCTTTATCACCACCACCATCACCACCATCTTCAACCACCGTTATTACCACCACCATCATCACCACCCTTATCACCACCACCGTCACCACCATCACCACCACTACCACCACCTTCACCACCCTTATCACCACCAGCACCGTCACCACCACCACCACCATCACCACCATCTTCAACCACCGTTATTATCACCACCAACATTACCACCCGTATCACCACCACCCTTATCACCACCACCATCACCGCCCTCCCACCTGGTAGTGCGGCATGCCGAGGTGCGTGGCCACGCGGGGGCACAGCGACGAGATGCCGTAGACGTCGTCCAGGATTTGCTCGACGACGTCGGCGAGCCCCTCACCGCCGTCGTCGTCGGGCTCCAGCGAGGGCGAGAAGCGGGGGCGGCCACCCCGCAGCTCCAGCTGCACCTGCAGCAGCGGCGCCGGGCGCAGCGACGCGTCCGTTGCCTCGCGCAGGTAGTGCAGCGAGCGCAGCGCCGCCGTGAAGAAGCCGTCGAGGAGGATCTCGTCGACGAACTCGAGGTAGGCGAGCCACGGCCCCTCCCCCCCCTCGCCCTCCCCCTCGCCCAGCTGCAGCAGCAGCGAGCGGTTCTCCTGTGTGGAGCCGGGCGACAACGCGCGCACGTGCGTATGTGCGGGCGTGCGTATGTGCGTGCGTTCGTGGGTATGTGCGTACGTGCGTATGTACGTGCGTGCGTTCATGGGTATGTGCGTACGTGCGTACGTAAGTGCGTGCGTATGTACGTGCGTGCAAATGTACATGCGTGCGTATGTATGTGCGTACGTGCGTATGTACGTGCGTTCACGTGTGCATATGTATGTGCGTATGTATGTGCATGCCGGGTGAAGGTTGCAGTGGTGGTGGGGAGGGCGGTGGCGTAGCAGTTCGCGTCGCTGCGCTACGAACCCGGCGAGCCGAGTTCGATTCCCGCTCACAGCCAGCAACGTAAGTGACGATTACCTGAACCGGTCCTGGGCCTCCCCTAGATCGACTCAGCCTCAAATGAGTACCTGGTGCGGTGTGTAAACATCGCCACTGGGGAGACAAAGGCGGCCGGGCGTCGCCCTGGCCACTCACTCCCCTCATGTGCCGTGCCGGCCTTCATCGGTGTATGCTAACAACACTTGCCCTAATAGTCTGTTAAAGGCTATATGGGGGATCTTTGTCTTTGGTGGTGGCGAGGGTGGTGATGATGATCATGGTGAAGGTGGTGGCAATCGTGTGGATGATGAGGCGGCAATGGTGGTGGCGGTGTTGAAGGTGGTGCTAGTGGTGGTCCTTTTGGTGACGATCTTGGTCACTCTGCTAATAGCCAAGATGAAGATTACGGTGATGCCCATAGCGGTGTTCGTGTCGAGGCTGCTACTGCCGATGATAACGACTCTGCTCACCCTTGCTGATGATGACGCTCGCGACGACGACGGCAATGATTATCACGCAATTTTACAGTCATCACAGTTTAAGATGACAATCACACCCCCCCCCCCCAACCTCCCGTCGTCTTCAGCAGAGGACATCTCAATCCCTCCACCTCCCGCCGTGCACCGCACCCATGACTTACGATGACGGCCTGGCCCGTCTGGGTCTTCACCCGGCACACCGCATCCCGTGTTCCCATCGATACGACATCGGCTACTGTTCACTCACCACCTACTCCAGTCTACCAGTGACCTGGAAACGATTTACCGCATCCAGTATTCATATGGCTCTAGATACGAGCGGCCACATACCTGGGCACGGCACACCACACCCACCATACCCCTCTCCCTCTAGGCATAACCCACCACCTTACCCAGCAGCACAGCACACCACACCCACCATACCCCTCTCCCTCTAGGCACTACCCACCACCTTACCCAGCAGCACAGCACACCACATCTAACATGCCCCTCTCCCTCTAGGCACGACCCACCACCTTACCCAGCAGCACAGCACACCACATCCACCATACCCCTCTCCCTCCAGGCACTACCCACCACCTTACCCAGCAGCACAGCACACCATATCCACCATACCCCTCTCCCTCTAGGCACTACCCACCACATTACCCAGCAGCACAGCACACCACATCCACCATACCCCTCTCCCTCTAGGCACTACCCACCACCTTACCCAGCAGCACACCACTGCATGCACCTCGAGGTTCTTTCCACCACCTTATCGGGTGGCACGTCACACCCCCCCCCACCCGGCCCCACCGTGGCCGCACCGTGGCCCCACCGTGGGCGCACCTGCACGAGGCGGTGGATGGCATCGGCGTCGTCGCGGACGGTGCGGTGCCGCTTGGCGAGCCGCTCCACGCGGCCGTCCAGGAGGAGCGGCGGGGGGTCGCCGCGGCCGTCGCGCCGGCCGTGCAGCGGCGTGTCGGCCCAGGAGCGCGCCAGCGCCTGGATGCGCTCCACGTTCGCCTTGGAGCGCTGCAGGCGCGAGTCGAGGTCGCCCACGAGCTCGCAGAGGTCACGCACGTACGCCCAGCTGTCCTCGCTCTGCGACGGGGGGGGGGGGGGGGGGAGTCGCGGGGGTCGCGGGGTCAGGGCCAGCGAAGGGCGGCACGTCTGCGGCGATGGCGGCGTGAAAGCCCACGGAGGAGGTCGCGCGCTGGGGTGAGGCTCTTCTCGCGCTCGTCCTGCCGTCTCTGGCTCCTCGTCTCTTTGTTTTTGACCCCGTTGCCGACGGTCGCACGTCAAGGCGACACGAGACTTGCTATCGTCGTCGACATCGTCGTCGTCGTCGTCGTTGTGCTTGATCAAGTGCTTGTTTTTGGTGTCGCACCTCCGATTAGCACGGTTGGCTATGCACGGTGCGGAAGAAGGTCAACATACATCCATCGTCATCACCGTAATCATTATTGTCGCGATTGTCACCATCATCGCCGTCATCATCATCATCGTCGTCACTATCATCATCATCGTCCTCGTTGTCATCATCATCTACCATGATTAGTCAACTGATGGGTGACGGTCCTCCATGGGCTGCCACCATCTCTCATGCCCCCCCCGACAATGAGCCCAATTTAGCCGTCGCCATCCCCCCACCGCTCTCGCGTCCACAAATATCAAAATCAACGGTGGTGGCAGCGCCCCCCCCCCCCCCAAGCACCTCGCACTGCTGCCAGGTGACGGCGGCGAGCGCCGGGCCCAGCTTGTCGTCGACGCGCACCAGCTGCGCCGCGACCAGCGGGAACTCCACCTCCAGCAGGGAGCGCTGCACGCGGTTGTAGCCCTCGGCCACCAGCTCTAGGCTGCTCACAAACTGCGCCGTCGCACACGACGAGGAGGAGGAGGGGGCAGTAGGAGGGCGAGAGAGAAGTGCAAGGAGGAAAAGAGAGGAGGAGGAGGGGGAGGCGGAGGAGAGAAGGGGATGAGGAGGGAGGAGGGAAGAGGAGTAGGAGGAGGAGGAAGAGGAGGGAAGAGGGAGATGGGCAAGGAGGGAAAAAGAGGAGGAGGAGGATAGGAGGTGGAAAGAGGGAGAGGAAAAGGAGGGAGGATGAGGGAAGAGGAGTAGAAGGAGGGCGAGAGAAAAGGGCAAGGAGGAAAAGAGAGGAGGAGGAGGAGGGGGAGGAGAGGAGGATGAGGGAGGAGGGAAGAGGAACAGGAGTAGAAGGAGGAAGGGGAGGGAATAGGAGGAGGAGTAGAGAAGAGAAAGATGATGGAAGATGGAGAAGGGCAAGCAGGGAAGGAGAGGAGGCGGAGGAGAGAAGGAGGAGGAGGGATGTAGCGGCGACAACGTGAGAGAATGGTGTTAATGGAGACCGCTGTTTTATCTCTCGCACGGTAACGACGGTGAGAGCGAGAAATACTTTGACGCCCCTCGCATTTGCCAATCCCTTTTGCGGAATAAAAGTCGCCGCACGGCAAAAATCGTCCCATTGGGCAACATTTCTCAACGGGGTTTGCGGCTACGGCTGTCTCTCCCCTCCGGGCAAACGCAATGGCATTCCGATGGTGGCGCTCACATCGTACGGGCAAACACCAACGCCGATTTTTCTTCCAGAGATACATACACATTTCTACGGCCGATCGGCGATCGGCGATTTCTGTCGGCTGTCCGATTTCGATCGTAATGACAGCGCCAACCGCTGACCCCCGCGGGCAACGCGCGATGCATCGTGTCTGCGTCGTCGCTGCTCGCGACGGCACGGCCGTGACGACGGCGGTGGCGAGAGAGAGGAGAGAGAGAGAGGAGAGAGAGGGACACACCTGGTTGATGGCGCCCCGCTTGTGGAAGATGGCGAGCGCCGCGGCGGGGATCGCTCCGCGCAGCTCCAGGTGCTGCAGGTACTTGACCTCGCGCAGCACGGCGGACAGCTGGGGACGGCAGCAAAGCAGCAGACGCTTGGCATGCATCCGCACGTGAGCACGTGTGTCCGCTGAACCTCTCTCGCACCGCACGGAGCCAATCGCGCTCGTCGGAGGCGCGGCGATAAGCCAGTCGCGGCGAAGGCCTCGCGCAGCACGATGAGAACGGCAAGGCCGACGCCGGGTGCGCTCGACTGATTGAACGCCTCGAGGCATTCTGCGACCGACGTTGAGATCCGTAAACGATCGCGCCGGGGGTCAGATCTCCGTGTCGTGCGCCTCGCTCCGCCCCGCAACGTCGCTGCAGCCGAATAGTGAAGGTGTCGCGCGATGAACAAACATGGCCGAGTTATTACCGTCCCCATCAGCAGCAGCGCCACCACCACGCCGGTGAAATGGGCGATTGGGAGAGCGATCCACACGCGCGTTCGGTTACATCCAGCACCATCAGGCAAGCTGATCAGGAATCACATTGCTAAACTCAACTTTTCTTTGTCCCACCCGGTAAGTCTCACTGAGCTATGTAGCTCTTTTCTAGAAGCGACCTGGCCATCAATAATAGCCCCAACGAAGCGGCTTACCACGTGGAAATTCATAGCAGTAGACAAAAAACTGTAAACGCGTGCTGATTCTAAATGTGGAGGGAAAAACCGAAGGGCCCGGAGAAAAACCTGCGTGACCACGGGGGAGAACACGCAGACTGCAAATGTATAGCAGCAGGCGTCAGGGGTCGGGATCGAAACCCACGACCTCCTGTGTACCAGGCGAGGTTGTTAACATCTCCGAACCACCGCGCCGTGGTTATCGGAAGGCGAGGCCGGGAGGGTTCACCTGGGAGCTGAAGTTGACCCTGAGGCTGCCGTCGCCGTGGAGACGGAGGAGCAGCGGGCGGTCCAGGCTGAAGCGGCAGACCTCGTCGACGCCGCGCTCCCACTGGGCGAAGGCTTCGTCCTCGTGGCGCGCCAGCAGGGCCATCATCTCCTCGTACTTGTCGAACGCGACGCGCGCCTCCTCGCTCTCCATCGACCTGCCGAGGTGGAGCAGCGCGCGCAGGCCACTGTTGCCAAGCCGTCGCCGTCGTCAGGGTTGTCGTTCTGACCGTCAACGTCGTCATCGTCGTCATCGTCGCTCTTACCGTCATTGTGAGAATTGTATTTTATTATGTTTTATTATTTCCCTTCTACGTGACTTGACCGAAAAAACCAAGAAGATTTACCGTCATCGTTGTCATTGTTACCATCGTGGCCATCGTCATCATCGTTATCGTCGTCATTGTCGCTGTTACCGTCATCGTTACCATCGTGGCCATCGTCATCATCGTCGTCGTCATCGTCGTAGGGTCGTTGTTCTTACCGTCATCGTTGTCATTGTTACCATCGTCGCCATCGTCCTCGTCGTCATCATCATCATCATCACCGATCGTCATTGCAATTGTCCTCATCAGCATTACCATTGAACGTGTCGTTACTGTCATCATCATCACAACTGTCATTACTGTTGTCATGATCATCGTCGTCGTCAGGGTTGTCGTTATTCCCCTCACCATCATCATCGTTGTTATCCACATCCAATCCACCCAGAATGAGGGAAATGTCAGCAGAACGGTAGTTTTTTAATCTATCTGTGCGGAGCTATGAACATTCTCCCCCCCCCCCCTCCCGCGTACGCGTGGTGGGTGGTCTCCAGGTTCCCTGCTTTCCTCCGAAAAACATCCCAAGGTTGCAGCACCCTCTTTAAGATGAGTTTTGATGTACGGGCTAGGCGTTGTGTCTAAAATTAAAAGAACTCATATCATAATCCCTGCCACAACCCATCACTGCCTGCCTCATCATCACCATCATCATCCCTGCCACAACCATCACTGCTTGTCCCATCATCACCATGATCCCTGTCACAACCATCACTGCCTGCCCAATTATCATCACCATCCCTGCCACAACCATCACTGCACCATCATCATCACCATCACCATCCCTGCCACAACCATCACTGCCCCATCATCATCACCATCCCTGTCACAATCATCACTGCCCCATCATCATCATCACCATCCCTGCCACAACCATCACTGCCTGCCCAATCATCACCATCCCTGCCACAACCATCACTGCCCCATCATCATCATCATCACCATCCCTGCCACAACCATCACTGCCCCATCATCATCACCATCCCTGCCACAACCATCACTGCCTGCCTCATCATCATCACCATTCCTGTCACAATCATCACTGCCCCATCATCATCATCACCATCCCTGCCACAACCATCACTGCCCCATCATCATCATCACCATCCCTGCCACAACCATCACTGCCCCATCATCATCACCATCCCTGCCACAACCATCACTGCCTGCCTCATCATCATCACCATTCCTGTCACAATCATCACTGCCTGCCCCATCATCATCATCCCTGCCACAACCATCACTGCCCCATCATCATCACCACCTTCCACCCATAATTGTTCTTTGGGTCAGAGCTTCACATGCCATAGATCGATTAAAATCCGAACGTGTGTCGTCCACCCTCCTCCACCTGACGCAGCCAAATAGATAAATTCAATGTCAACAAACGTGCCAATTTGTGGAGAGCGATCTACGCGCATTTTAAATAAATAAAAACATCGGGTTCTACGACGCGCTGTCCGTCACAGCCACCATCGTCGCGCGAATGCCGAAATGCGTAATAACGTCCTCCGGCCTCGTCCGACACACAGTGGGCGACACGCTTCGCTCCGCGCGGCGATCTGACCCGACACATCAGCCGCGACTCACAACATTGGTGGCGGAGGCCCGCGTGCAAAAAAAATCGTCGTCATCGTCGTCGCCGCAGTCGCCGTTAAAAACAGCAAAAAAAAAACGTCTATGGTACAAAAGCCTTTCACGGGCATTTCGGCAGAACCCACGGCATTTTTCAAATCTGCTCCCGGCGCGATGTTCCCTTTCCGCTAGCTGCGAGCCGCACTTCTAAAGGCACCGTGCCCTTGAGCGAGACCCCGTGGGGGCGCGCATTACTTAGGCAAAGTAGCGGCTGCCCCAACTTTTTCTTTTCCTTTCCAATTTGCCAATTGTTCGCGAGATAATTTCCATCTCTTGAGTGCGCGCGGGAAAGGAAAAAGAAAACGTCGAGTCAGGGGGGGCTGGGGTTGAGTGGAAAGAGTGACTAGCTACATTTGAAAACGTTTAATAACAATCATAATCCTGTAATTCCGCTGGAAATGTAGGTCAAAAGACGTGAGGCTCAACGATCTCGGGAGTGGAAAAGCGCGGAGTATTTTTTTTTTTTAGCGCGCACTTTGGGAGAAAAAAGGGGGTACGAGGGAATGGCAGGCGGGTCAATGTCTCGTGTCAGGGTGATACAATCATGGTCAGTGTTTTTTTCATATTATTGATGGCATAATGGTACCTTTTCAAATTAAATGATAATGCGCATTCAGTTTGAAATTTTAATTTCACGGTGCGGTTGGTGAAAGAACGAAAAGATCACGTGGGTTCCTTTCGATTTGCGTCGCACCTACATCAGCTCCGATCCTCGCAGCGTTGAAGGGACAGCGACATTCCGGCGTCGTTTGTTCTGTCGGAGTTTTGTCCGGAGATTTTTGGTGATTTATCCCCCCCCACCCCCTTCCACATGGCGAGATGTGAACTTCTAGATTTGAAGCTTTCGTGACTGCAAGGATTCATATTCTTAGGTTTTTCGGTAAAGTCACGTAGGTAAAAAAATTAAATTAATAAAAGTACCTTTACATCATCCGCACCTAGTTTACACAACAAAGGCTCATTCCTAACATTGTGCTTCAGCCGCACCGAACCTCACAAAAATAATATTCAGGACCTACCTTGGCTCCTCCCACCCTCAACGAGTATATATACAAATACTGTTTTCTTGGAATTTCTCTCACTTGATACAGCTATCGTGCTGTGACGGTTCCATCTGAAGACAGAAGCTTGTGTTGCCTCTGAAACGTCGTGATTTTTATTTTATTTTTATTTTACTTTAATTAATTGAAAAATTTTACCTACGTGACTTTACCGAAAAAACCTAAGAATATGAGATGTGAACTACCTCGCCTGGTATACAGGAGGTTCGTGGGTTCGATCCCGACCCTGACGCCTGTTGTATATTTGGAGTTTGCGTGTCTCTCTCTCCACGTGGTCGCATTCATTTTTCTCCGGGTCCTCCGGATTTTCCGTCCACATTTAAAATCAATGTGCGTTCAGAGTATTTGGCTGCAATAAATGTCCACGTGATAAGCCACTCCATTGACCTATCATTTGTGGCCAAGTCGCTGATAAAAAAGAGCTATATAGCTCAGTGGGCCTTACCTGATAAGTAAAAAGATTTTAGTTTGGGACCTCTTTGCCAGTACCAAAATATGAGAATAGGTTTTCCCCTTTTTTCTGGCAACAAAACTGAAACCTTTTTATAAAGAATCATGTCTGCATTAACCACAATACTTGTGGTCAGAATGCAAACAAAAACATACTTTGATAATATATGCATTGTCTTTGAAACTGATTGGTCCACACCAGAGACAGCTTTCTTTAGAGCCTAGTCTCAAAAGGTGTTAGACCAGAGGACGCCTAACATCTTAACACCTGTTTTGTTTCCAGAAAAAAGGGGAAAACCTCTTCTCATAGTTTAGTTTAGAGTTATTCTGCCCGTGCACAAACGATAGCAGCGTTTCTGTCATCACCGTCATCAGCCATGATCAATCTACTCCTGTAAGAAGTCCTCCACAAACCTCTGTGTCATCATCCCGCGATCTTAACGACTTCACGTTTCTGTCGAAATAAGACGTTGGGTTTAAATAGAAATATCGTTTGAAATAAAATAAGGAACGGATGAAAACAATTGTAGTCCATTTTCTGTCCTATGCTGATACACAGCTGCAAAAAAAGGCTTCCCTACTCATGAGAGGTTGTTCTTTACCATGCTTCACCACGCTGGATCGGTGCGGGGTGGTAAAGCGGAGACCCAGACCTGCGTTGGATGGCACAGTATAACAATGTTGGTGGCAAAATGTAAAGTATGATCACCTTCATCTCAACGGAACCCAGCGACTAGTTGGAAATTTGCAACCTGCTGACCCGCCCCTACAAGAGCTTCACAGCTCATCGGATTCCTCCAGGCTAAATAACAGACGCTGATCCTGAAATTCGATGCGTCAAGTAAGTAAAGCAATAAACTCCTACACAATCGCGCCTCGAGTTTCCGAGCCGCCCCGTGACCCACGTGCGGATTTCTGAGCTGGGCCACGTGTGTGGGAATTTCTTCTCCACAGCTTTTGCCGCATTTACTGCGGGAAACTTCAGCAGCTGAAGTTCTGAAGTTGAAATCCGCAAGATGTCCACCGGAGCACGTGTGTGGTTTTGTGAGCGTGTATGCTGAAACTTATTTTTCGTGGAGAGAGTTTGAGGCTCAACTCGGAAGAACGCGCTTGGAGGGGTTATTTTACTTTTATTAATTTTAATTTTTTACCTACGTGACTTTACCGAAAAAACCTAAGAATAAAAAGGAAAACAGTTGAGTGTAGAAAATCACAGTGGGATGTTGTGTAAATGTTGTAGCCTTGCTCTCCAACACGCCGGTGTGCTGTACTAGTAACGCATTGGCACGTTCTGTTTACATGGCAAACATTACTAATTTGCTGTGGTTTCAAAACATCTTTCCCAAACCGTGACAAAAATTGGGATTTTGTTCCACGTTCATGACACGGGCAAAGGGTGGGGGGATACCTGAGAAATGGGTGGGGACTATCAGAAAAGTGGGTGGAGCTACCGGACCAGTGGGTGGGGCCTATGAGTAGTGGGCGGGGCCTATAAGTAGTGGGTGGGGCCTATGAGTAGTAGGCGGGGCCTATGAGTAGTGGTTGGGGTCTATGAGTAGTGGGCGGGGCCTATGAGTAGTGGGCGGGGCCTATGAGTCGTGGGTGGAGCTACATGAGCAGTGGGTGGGGCTACATGAGCAACATCTGAAAAATTGAAATAGGCCCCTCCCTGTGCAGGTGGGGCTAGTGGTGGAATGGGCGTGGTTAAGTGAAAGTGGGCAGGGCTGACGGAGGGAGGGGCTGCCCAGCAGTTCCAAAGTTTTACAGGTAGGAACAATATGTTCCACACTGCCCACCAAGGATGATTTGTCTGTCTGACTGCCGTGCCTAAATATATATATAATACAAACAGCTGCCGGGTACGGGGAGGTGCCTAAGGGAGGAGGGTCAGGGGAGGGGCCTAAGGAAGGGGGGAGTCAGAAGAGGGGCCTGAAGGGAGGGGGGGTCAAGGGAGGGGCCTAAGGATATGGGGGGTGGTCAGGGGAGGGGCCTAAGGGTATGGGGGGGGGTGGTCAGGGGAGGGGCCTAAGGGAGGGGGGGGTCAGCGGAGGGGCCTGAGGGAGGGGGGGGGGGGTAAGGGGAGGGGCCTAAGCAAGGGGGAGGGGCCGATAGTGAAGGGGGCTGACTACCTGGCTGGCTGCCTAGCTACCTCAAGTCAAGTTATCTTCTATACAGGTAGGAACAACAGGTTCCAAACTGCCCACCAGGGATTATTTGTCTGTCTGTCGTGCATATTTGTCTATCGTGCACGAATGCGCTGTCCAACCAAGTTCCTACCTGCCCACTCCGAAGGAACGTGTTTTGTGTCTCTCAAGGGGCACTCACGGGTGGCTGATGAAGCGAAACTGCCTCTTGTGTTTCTGCAGCCTCTGGCCGAGCTGCTTGGCCCACGTCAGGCTCCCGGCAGTCACGGGCATGTTCTTGTTGACGAGGCCTCGTCCTTTCTTGAGCTGAGGAAGGACAAAAAAAAAGAGCAATAAAAGTCTGACCACTGCGGGATTTTTGCAGTTGCGCTGTGGAGCTCTCCGGCTGGTTTTCCAGTTGCGCCGAGTGTTGTTTGGCACGACGTCCGACGTTTCGCTCCACGACGCTGGGGAACGTCTTCAGGAACGGAAGCAAGAGTGGCCGCAGACGTCATGGAGATCAATTGGTTGAACGATAAAAATTTGGCGAGAGAAGACGTACTGCTACGTACACACGCAGTAAGATGGCGTGACAATTAATTGAGGGTACGCCACCGCTTTACGGTATAATTTTGCATACTGTATCACTGTACCGCTACTCAAGAAAGTAGTTCGTCATCAACCGCTCACGAAACCGCGTTATAACAGCGCGAGTTCCATGCTATAACGACGCGCGTTCCACGTTATAACAGCGCACAGTCCGTGTTATAACGGCGCGCGTTCTGCGTTATAACGGCGCACGTTTCACATTGTGCAAAAAGTGAAAGAATCGCTTTGTAGAAAACAAAGCACTGAGCGTATGCGCACATCTGATTTGAATGGTTGGCTACGTACGGTGCGAAAGAAGTTCAACATTGCACGTGTGCATTCTGGTTATTGCTCCCAACGGCAATAACCGGCGCGGCCGCCGGATTCGAACCGCGCACCTTGGCAAAACGAGCGGTGAGCGCGCTAACGGCTGGGTGACTCACCAGCGCCACGTGCTGATCGTAGATCTGTTTGCTGGCCTCGAGCTCCTGGTCGAACATGGCGATCAGCGTTGCGAAGTTGGCAGCAAAGATCTCACCGACCGCCGGCCTCTCCAGGAAGCCAGTCGCGATGGCCACGAGCTGATGGGGAGGTGGGGGGGGACATCACCCATGTGACCAACCCCCTGCCATGGCAATGTAGAATTTCCTACCGCGGGGGCTCAGGGCCGCCGGCGAAAAGGTGAGTCAGAACTCGTTGCCAGTGCAAGCACGGAGACTTTCGCTCGGAACGGACTTTGAATCGTAATGATTTTATTTTATTGCAATTTTTTATCTTAACAATTAAGGCCCACTGAGCTATGCAGCAAATTACAGCTCAAGTGGCTTATTACGTGGACATTTATATCAGCCAAATACTCTAAGCGCGTGTCGATTCTAAATGTGGAGGGAAAAACAGCAGGACACAGAGAAAAAGCCACGCAACCACGGGGAGAACACGCAAACTCCAAATATACAGCAGGCGTTGGGGATTGGATCAAACCCACGCCCTCCGGCATTCCAGGTGAAGGAGATAAGACAGCCAAACGACTGGGGGGGGGGGGGGGGGTGGGGGGGGGGGGGTAGGAGGGTGGCATGCTGGGAATGGCACCTTGAAGGCCGACTCAAGCCCAGAGCAGTCCTGGAAGGCCTGGCAGAGGATGGAAACAAGGCGGCGGTCGAGATCCAACACTCGGCGCTTGAAGTCCTTGTAGTCTCTCACAAAAGCCTGCGGTGCACACGTGGAGTATGGGGGGAGGGGGGGAGGTGATCAGGACGTTGGGTTGGGTGGGCAGAATGAAGCCCTGGGTCTAGGAATTTTGAAGCTCTCTCTCTCGCGGTGCGTTGGTCGTTTGGCCGGATTGGCCGAGCGTGCCCTCTGATGTCCGCTGCTCAGAGCGACTTAAAGCCCAACTTGAAGGACGAACCTCAGGGGGCGAGGACTCTGACCAATCACGGCGCACGCTCAAGCGGAATGAGAACAGCAAAAGATTCAAACGCAACAAAAACACTCCGCTGCGTCGTCTCCCTCGGGAGCGACGCAAACGTGACCGCGCGTACACGTAGCCGTGGGGTAAACAAGCTTGCCCAAGCACCGTGGCTCTCTTCCCCCGGACGTGGGGAGGGGGGGTCTGTGCTTTCCGCGCCAGGTACGGTGTGCGCGCCCATCATCAAAGCAAGCGTCGCGACCGCCTGGCGGGATATTTGGCGAGATGCCAACGGTGATTTTTTTTTCGTCGTCTCCTCTGCTCGGTCGGCGTGCGTTGGTGGCGCTCGGTCGACTGGCTGGCTGTGCGTGTTTTGCCGTGGGAGCGGCGGTTTACGCTTCGTGCGCCGGGAGAGTTCGCAGTCGCCAAAGTCCGTGGCGCATCACCCGCAAGGGACGGCGCCAATCGGAGGGCTACGAGGTCAGAGGTCGGGGGGTCGGCACGGTGGTCACGGAGGTCGGAGGTCAAATGGCTGAGCCAGCGAGGACCGTGATCTCCGGGTTCTCAAGCACGATGAGTGGACACTGTCGGCCGGGTAACCAAGAACTCGCATCGAGATCCCACGTCGAGATTGTTAGGCTCACACAGGGAGCCGTACTGAGACACTGAGGCATTTACACTCGCACTTCCCATCAGCACGGTAAGCTATGTACGGTGCACAAGAAGTTCAACATGCATACTAAACAGGGAGCCATAGACTCGCACGGTTGTGATCAGGTACACCGCACTAAAATAACCCATTGTATTGGGTTCTGCACCTAATTTGGCTAGATTCCAACTCTGAGAACTTAAAGCGTTGGTTTGACCATCACGTGATAAAAAACATTGCTCTCACATGACAGAGCGGGTGGGAAAATGCTGAGGTCACTTAAAGAGAGCTCAGAGGTAGCTCTTTGATATCCTCCTCCACGTGCCGTTCTCTCAAAAGGCCACCCTCTGCTGTGCTAGAGATCGGAAACATTTATTTGTCTCGTGACGCAACGCCGAGAGCGCAACTGGGATTCAAATGAACAGTTTACAAACATTGTGCCACCATCCTGCAATGCATGGTGGGTATGCAGAGCAAAGATGATTGCAAAAATAACAATCGTGCCTGGAGTGGAGGTAAGAGAGAAAAGATTTAGGGCTCGGTTTAGGATCATGTTTTTTTTATTCCTTCTCTGACCTACCCACACGGAAAATGATTTGTGCCAAGGGTTGGCAGCGGCTCAGAGTTAAGTTCGCGAAGCAATGACCGGAGGAATTTAGTGAAATTTCATTCAAATGGGTTTCATACCACACTCCCGATGAAAAATGTTTTACACTTCAGATTAAATGTCGCATTTAAGTCGGGGGCTTTATTGCTACATTCGTTAGAACGAGCCCGGTGGGAGGGGAGGGGGGGTCTGAAAATAAATTAGAAATTCAAGTTCACGCGGCCCGAGAGCCATCCGCGTTCGTCAGCCGTGATGTCCATCGATCCGTCGAATTTCCACAAAACTAAAACTCTTGAAGCGACGGTGACTCGTTGTTGGCTGTGCCCGCACGCCGCGTGGAATCGTCGCGCACACGGCAGGCAGTCCCAAATCATCTCCCCCCTCCCTCCCCCTCCCTCCCACCTTCTCCTCCTCCTCCCCCTCCCTCCCTCCCTCCCACTTTCCCTTCCTCCTCCTCCTCCTCCCCCTCTTCTTTGTGCAACCAATGTTGCTACAGAGCAACAGCTGGTGGTATAATTTAAATGTTGCACGGATCTTCTAGCCCTCTGCTTCACAAACGCACACTGATCCAGCGTGGTGAAGTATAGTCAAAAACTCTCATCACCAACACCGAGTAGGAAGGCCTTTTTGCAGCTGTGTATTGACATAGGACAGTAGATTGGCCATAACTGTTTTAATCCATTCCTTAATTATTATTTTTTAAACGAGATTTCTATTTAAACATTAGGTCTTATTTCGACGTGGGTTTGGGCATTGGGGATCGCCTGGTCCACCATTGGTACCTCATTTGCCAGTAAAAAATATGATAATTGGTTTTTCACCCTTTTTATCTGGCAACAAAACTGCCACCTTTTTTACGAGTTCATATTTTATTTTATTTTTTACTGGCAAATGAGGTTCCAATGGTGTAAATGCTTACCTCGAGCTCTCATACTCTGATGGTGCATTGTCTTTGAGTTGTGCGCCTTTTGGCGTCATCTGGTCCAACCCATGTGAAACTAGGCTCTAAGGAAAGCTGTCTTGTGTGTGGACCAATCAACTTCAAAGACAGTGCATACATTATCAGAGTTATGTTATTTGTTTGCATTATGACTGCAGGTAGTGTGGTCTATGCAAACATGACTCCTCGTAAAAAAAAAAGTGTCAGTTTTATTGTCAGATAAAAAGGGTAAAAAACCAGTTACCTCGCCTGGTATACAGGAGGTCATGGGTTCGATCCCAACGCTGACACCTGCTGTCTATTTGGAGTTTGCATGTTCTCCCCATGATCACGTGGATTTTTCTCGAGGTCCTCCGGTTTTTCCCTCTACATTTAGAATCAACGCGCGTTTAGATTATTTGGCCGCTATACATTTCCACGTGATGGCCAGCTCGCTTCTGAAAAGAGCTACATAGCTCCTCAGTGGGCCACACGGGGTGCCAATCGATGGAGTTGAAACCCCCCCCCCCCCCTCGTCACGTACCTTATCCTCGCAGTCGAGGGCGTCGTAGGTGCTCTCCTGGAACACCTTCCATCGCTCCAGGAACTCCTGGCCCAGGCCCGAGGCCTGCTCGCTCAGGGCTCGGCCCTTGACGCCGCCAAACTCCAGGCGCTCCAGGCGAGAGAACTCCAGGGCCGTCTGGAAAACATCCTGCAGCAGCAGCAGCAGCGATAGTAAACTTAGTAGTGGCAGCAAGAGCAGCAGCAGAAGCAGAAACAATATACCTATTAGTGGAAGCACCGGCATCAGCAGCATCAGCAGCAGAAGACACAGCAGCAATAGCAACATCCCCAACCTGGATCTGCCGCAGGCGCTGCAGGCTTAGGTCGAGGCGAGCGAAGGCCAGCTGCGACGGGAAGTCCCAGGGTCTGCTGGCGGGACCGGCGGGCCGCCCCCCCGCCGTCGCCACCGGCGGCGACGGGGGGCGGGCGAGGGCGTCGCGGCAGCGCGAGAACTCGTCGCGGAACTCGAGCAGGAGGGCGGCGGCGAGCTTCACGCGCTCCAGGCCTTCCTCCACCTCGCCCGTGAAGAGGCCGTCGGCGGAGAGGTGCAGCGCGGCCTGGGGGGGGGAGGGTCATCGCCGCCGCGGCGTACGGAGAGAGAGCGAGAGAGAGATGCAGAGAGGGAGAGACAGAGACGTGTTGGAGAGATGTATTGAGAGATACAGGGAGACATGGAGAGAGAGACGTGGCGAAAGACAGAAAGATGGTAAAAGAGAGATGGTGAGAGAGACGCACAATGGCGCACGCCGCACCGGCGTTGCGACGTCGTGACTTTGTGACGTTGCGACGTCGTGACTTTGTGACATTGTGACATTGCGACGTTGACGACGCCCCCAGCGGGGACCTGCCTGCTGGATGAGCAGGTTGGCGATCTCCTGCAGGAGCACCACCACGCGCTCGGGGCGGCCGTAGCGCTCCGAGCGGCTCCACGCGAGGGTCACCGCGCGCAGCAGCGGCGCCAGCAGCGGCGCCGCCGCCGGCAGCTCGGCCCGCTCCAGCGCGTCCAGGTGGCGCGCCAGCGGGCGCAGGTGCAGCGACACGTCGCGTGCCTCCTCCAGGCCTGCGGAACGCGGTGGGGACGGGAACCAGCGGCCAGACGGAGAGGCGCGCGATGAGAGCGGCGGGGGAGAGACGTGGGTGGGGGGCCGGGGGAGGACATGGAGACACACAATTGGAATTACCGGGGAAGCCTCACGGAGTCTCAAGACTTTTTTTCGGGAGGGTCCTGCCACGTTCGCGTAGTTGGGGCATGGGGGGGGGAGGGAAGGTGATGATAATGCCGCTACTCTGTTGAGTGATTTTCAGTGCAATCCATCAGCATTTGGGGATGTTTTGACCAATCGCGGTTACATTGTGTGTGTGTGTGCGCTACGAACCCAGCAACCCGGGTTCGATTCCCGCTCATGGCCAACACCAGTGACGATTATCTGAACCGGTTATCGGCCTTCCCCAGGTCAACTCAGCCTCAAATGAGTACCTGGTGCGGTGTGTAAACATCGCCACTGGGGAGACAAAGGCGGTCTGGCGTGGTGCTGGCCACCCACCCCCTCGTGTATCGTTCCGGTCTTCGTAGGTGCTCGCTAACAGCACTTGCCCCTACAGCCTGTTAAGGTGACAGGAAGCCGGAGAACCCGAAGGAAAACCCGTGCAGAAGTCGGGTGAGAGAGAAAGCGAGAGAGCGTACAAACTCCGCACGGAAAGGCGCCACCAGTCGGGAATCGAACCCCGGCGCTTCTTGCCGCGAGGCACGAGTGCTTGTTACCCAATGCGCCGCTGCGGCCCCCTAATCAACACACTTGCCCGCAGCCCCCCTAATCGACACATTTGCCCGCGGCCCCCCTAATCAACACATTTGCCCGCGGCCCCCCTAATCAACACAATTCCCCGCGGCCCCCCTAATCAACACAATTCCCAGCGGTCCCCCTAATCAACACAATTCCCCGCGGCCCCCCTAATCAACACACTTGCCTGCGGCCCCCCTAATCGACACACTTGCCCGCGGTCCCCCTAATCGACACACTTGCCTGCAGCCCCCTAATCAACACACTTGCCTGCGGCCCCCCTAATAAACACACTTGCCTGCGGCCTCCCTAATCAACACACTTGCCTGTGCCCCCCCTAATCGACACACTTGCCTGCGGCCCCCCTAATCAACACACTTGCCCGCGGCCCCCTAATCGACACAATTCCCCGTGGCCCCCCTAATCAACACACTTGCCTGCGGCCCCCTAATCCACACACTTGCCTGCGGCCACCTCGTGGCAGATGTGCTGGAAGGCCGGGCAGTAGCTGCTCTCTGCCCTCTCCAGCACCCGGGAGAGCGCCCTCACCCTCGGCGTGTTCAGCTGTGGGCACGGGGACATTCGTTCATGCCGCGGGAGGAATCCGATAAAGCTGTCAAAAGCTAGATTTGAAGCTTTCGTGACTGCAAGGATTCATACTCGTAGTTCTTTTGGTACCGAAAGAACTAAGAGTATCTGTCAAAAGCTCTTTTTTTTCCGCACGCGTTGTCAAGTCGGGGTTACGGGGTTCAGAACTTGACAACAACAACAGCAACGACAATTAAACAGTGCAAAACAGAAAATGTATACACAATGTTTAACAGCACTCTCCTCTCCTTTGTTGTATTTGGATTGCCAACCAACAACTCTCCTCTCCTTTTGTATTTGGTTTGTCAATCAACATCGAGTAAAACATCAACAAGATGCACCAACTGTTCTCTTTTAGCCCCGCCCCCCCCCCCTAACACGTTCCACTCATTGGCTTCCACATTCAGATAAGCCCCTCCCCCTTCCCTCCCCCCTTCAACTTGTATTTCAGAGCTTGACTCTTGGAATTTTGCCTCACTTGATACAGTAAATCTAGCTGACGGTCCCACCTGATGACGGAGACTTGTGTTGCCTCCGAAACGTCGTGATTTATTATTTTATTTCTATTATTATTGCAATAATATTTTTATTATTTTCCTACGTGACTTTACCGAAAAACCTAAGAGTATGTATACACAAGTGGAACACCTTCACTACGTCTCCTCCAGTGGGCAATGATTCTTAAGAGCACTCATTAGGGCATTTAGGCACTCCATCCTCCTTTCCTACAGGGGTATCAGAGCTTAGGAAGACACCAGGTGGTTGTAGAGTTTATTGAAATCGTTGATTGAAACGTGCCGTTTAGACAAGCTTCCAATGCACTCTAATCCGTGATGTGTGTTTGTGCTGGTGTCAACCCCCTTTCACACCGCCTGCGTTGTCTACCTGAATCGTCTTGTTAATAAAATACTTTTGAAATAAATACATACACAAATACAACTAAACTATTTTACGTGACCAAGCAAAGCCCATCTATAGCTATTCACTTATTTATCCACACACACAGACAAATACAAAGGTCCCCCGTGTAGCTTTTGAACCAGGCTGTTGGGGGGGGGGGGGTTCTCAAATGCAGCGCCAAGTTGATGGTCTCTAGGTGGTCACCAAAGGTGAACCACCCACAACCACCACCGCGATTGATCAATGGCGGCGGTGGGCGGTTAATTGGTCGAGGCGGATATGCAACGGTTCAGATGCGTGACGCTGGGGCCGCGTGGCACACCGGAAGAGCGAGTGGCTCGCGCTCGGAAGGTTGCGAGGTTCAAACCCTCGCTGGGAGTGGACTCGGCTCATCGTCCCCCTGGGGTCGACAGAATGACTGCGACCATTTGAGAAGTCAACAGTTGTTGTCGTGTTGGTCGACTCACCCCCGCCCCCCCCGGTATATGAATTTGCACCAGTGGCTCAGGGCTGTCAACAGGAGATGAGCTCCAATGTGGCAATGCTCATTTGAGCAGCAAATCACTTTGACGTTTGACACTTTGTTGACTGGTGGTGGTGGTGATGGTGGTGGCAGTGGCAAGCAGTGGTGGTACTGGCGTTGGTGGTAGTGGCGGTGGTGGCGGTGATGATGGTGGTAGCAGTAGTGAGGGTGTTAGTGTAGCGGTTAGCGCGCTGCGCTACAAACTTGGCGACCCGGGTTCGATTCCAGCTCACGGCCAACACCGGTGACGATTATCTGAACCGGTCCTGGGCCTCCCCTAGGCTTCAAATGAGTACCTGGTGTGATGTGTAAACATCGCTACTAGGGAGACAAAGGCGGCCGGGCGTGGTGTTGTCCACCCACCCCCTCTGTGTGCCGTTCCGGCCTTTATAGGTGCTGCACGCTCACAGCACCTGCCCCAATAATCTGTTAAGGCTATACGGGGGATCTTTGTCTTTGCTGGTGGTGGTGGTGGCGATGGTGGTGGCGATGGTGGAGGTGATGATGGCGGTGGTGGTATTAGTGGTAGTGGTGGTGGTTGTATTGGTGGTAGTGGTGGTGGTTGTATTGGTGGTCGTGGTGGTGATTGTATTAGTGGTATTGGTGGTGGTTGTATTGGTGGTGGTGGTTGTATTAGTGGTAGTGGCTGTATTAGTGGTGGTGGTGGTGATTGTATTGGTGGTAGTGGTGGCCACACCTGCTCGTCGATGCACTGCAGGTTTTCGGCACGAGCCGACCAGAACTCGAGCTCCGCGCGAGGCCCCGGGTGGGCTCCGGCCCTGAGCGCTTGTGCCGAGTCGCTGGCGAGCACGGCGCGGATCTGACGGCTCCACTCGACCACCGTCGACTCGACCGCGTGCACCACGAGACGGTCGTACGGCTCGGGTCTGGCGCGCCCCACCACCACCACCACGACGCCGGCGAGGGAAGGGAAGGCAATCGGCGACAAGTTGAAGGGAGTCGCGCGGACGCGGAGAGGGAAAGAGAGAGAGGTAGAGGGGTTAATTCGTTCATCACGTCAGACACGTGACCCTCACCCTGACAGCGTTCGCGTGAACTGCTCTTGCTGGCGCACACCCGTGTCTCGAGTGATGTGTTTGAGGTTGGGGTGGCAGCCCTGCAATTGCCGGCTCACGCCCAGCAGCGGTGCCGGCCTCTTTGGGATTATATTTTCCCCCCGCCCCTCCCCCCGCCTTAGCGTTATTATTTAAGAGTATGTAGGATGGACAGCAACAAGACAACTAAAGGTGTGTTGTTCGGAAAAATTGAAGCGGAAAGAGAGGAAGACCCAACAGAGCATTGGTGCCAGAAAGATGTCACAGGATGGAGGAAAGTGGAAACAAAAGACGAAATGTGGAGTGGACACCCACGGGGGCTATCTGCTCATGGATCGTGATGCTGATGATGATGAACAAACTCAGTTTCTTAAAGAGCCTTTAATACTGGTAATCTTTTTTTTAATATATCTCTTCCTCTTGCGGCATTATAGACGGATGTTACACACACACCGCGGAAATGAGAATGTGCAAAGTGCCGCTTGGGGAAAGGCGAGAGCAGGCAGACTCAGAAACGAGAAGATCGGAGGAACGACGACGAACGACGTTCGTCGCTCGAAGACGAGATGAGAAGCGCGCGACACAGAGGTGGTGGCGGCGGGGTGACGCACCCCGATGGCGAACATCACCGAGAACGTGGGACGCACGGAGCGATGCGCGGACGGACCGTGCCAGGCGAGAGACCGAGAGGCAAGAGCAACGGACGAGAGAGAATGTAACTAGATTTTTATTTCACCAGGTAAGGCCCCACTGAGCTATGTAGCTCTTGATCAGAAGCGACCTGGCCACAAGCGATAGCTCAACGAAGAGGCTAACTGCGTGGACATGTATTACAAACACTCCAAATGGACGCTGATTCTTAACGTGTGGAGGCGAACAACTGGAGGACTCGGAGAAAAATCCACGCGACCACGGGTAGAAAGACACGCAAACTACAAATATACAGCAGGTGTCAGGGTCGGGATCGAACCCACGAACTCATGTGTACCAAGCGAGGTAGTTAACATCTCCGAGCCACCGTGGTGATGATGAGAGAGAGAGAAGCAAACTCCAAATATAGAGCAGCAGGCGTCAGGGTCAGGATCGAACCCACGATCTCCTGTATACCAAGCGAGGTAGTTAACATCTTGTCACCATGGCAGTGCCCGAGACGTTTCTATTCATGCGTGTGCGTGCGTGCGTGTGCATGTGTGTGTATGCGTGCGTGCGCATGCGTGTGTGTGTGCGTGCGTGCGTGTGTGCGTGCGTGTGCATATACGTGTGTGCGTGCGTGTGTGCGTCCGTGCGTGTGCGTGCGTGCATGTGTGTGCGTGCGCGTGCATGTGCATGCGTGCGTGTATATGCGTGCGTGTGCGTGTATATGCGTGCGTGTGTGTGTGTGCATGCGTATGCATGTGTGTATGCGTGCGTCTGTGCGTGTGCGTGCGTGCGTGCGCGTGCGTGCACGCCGGAGGCCGTACTTGTGGGGCATCTCGCGGACGGAGGGGCTGCGTGCCGAGCGCGACCGCTGGGCCAGGCCGGGCAGCGGCAGCAGCGTGCGGCCCTGGGCCTGGCCCCGTGCCGCCAGCGCGTGGCCCCGCAGGCCCTCCACGTGCCTCTCCACGTCCTGGGCCACGGCGGCGGGCCACGACGCGTGGTTCTGCTCGTTGGACAGCACGGGCACCACCACCTTGGGGACGGAGAGAACGGGAGGGGGGGGAGATGTACGTGAGAGTGTGTGTGTGTACGCGTGGAGCTGAGTGGACTTGCCGATGACTGGTACCAGCGGTGTCAAGATCGGCCTCTGTGGAGGAGGAGGCTCGTGAAGGACGCTACTACTGGGCAGTTGGAGGCAGTCGCCCTCCAACAACAACGGAGGGCGGAGGAGCGACGCTCACAACAACGAGCGGAGCGCCGGGTGGCTAAAGCACAGCAAGTTGGTACAGTAGGGGGCACAGGTGGTGCATCAGCCAGTCATCTCAGTCATCTCGGTCAGTCGACCCGTGGCAACTGGGTCTGCCCCGTGACCTCCTGCCAGCGGGCGTTCGACACTTCACGTGGCCTCAAGGTGCACTTGGCCTGGCACAAGCGTCGTGGTGACGTCACCGCCACTTAGTGGCGAATGGCGGTTGTTGTTGTTGTGTACGCATCAGCCATGGGGAGCGGTGGTGTAGCGGTTAGCGCGCTGCACTACGAACCTGGCGACCCGGGTTCGATTCCCGCTCACGGCAAACACCAGTGACGATTATCTGAACCGATCCTGGGCCTGCCCAAGGTCGACTCAGCCTCAAATGAGTACCCGGTGCGGTGTGTGAACATCGCCACTGTGAGAGAAAGGTGCTGGCCACCCACGCCCTCGTGTGCCGTTACGGCCTTCATAGGTGCTCGCAAACAGCACTTGCCCCAACAGTATGTTGAAGGCTATACAGGGGATCTTTGTCTTCGTGTGTATGTCGAACTTCTTTCGCACCGTACGCAGCCAACCGCCACTCGAAAGCAACAGCAGCAGCAGGAGAAGCGTCAAGTTACGTCGCCCCGCTGAAATTCCACCGCTCCGATGATACGCACCGTCCGTGTCATCGGAGGAGGAGGAGGAGGCTCGACTGAGACGAACATGCACGCGGCAATCGTCAACGCGCCCACCGAGACAAACCCAGGCTCTCGTGTTTCACGGAGAGGTGTTGCGCTCGTGCATTATACATTGGACAGAGATAGAGAGAGACAAGAGAGACGAAATGAACATTAATCACTGTGCAGTCACTGGGGGTGCGGAGGTGGGGGCTTTCCAGGGAGTGTCGACATTGTGTCAATATCGCTGCCGAGTGAGAGCCCATCTGACCATACTTCACCAGCACGTCTGTAAGTTGCGAGCCGGTGAAGACGGAGAGTTCTGGAGATTTCTCCCAACGTGGTACGGGCAGCCGAAAGCAGTTGGTTCTCAGTTTGCACACCCCTTGATGATGATGATGGAGTGGTCGTTTTAAACTTGATATGATGGTGACCATAATCATAATCATCAGTCATGATCAATCCACTGCTGGATGATGGCCCCCCCAAGCCACCACTAACTCTCACGATCCAGCGTTGCACCACTCTACCCAGCATGCAGTATATATGTGTGTGTGTTGAACTTCTTTCGCACAGTACGTAGCCAACCGTGCTAATCGGAGGTGCGTGGGAGGAAATACGGCAAACACAAAAAGCAGTTCTCAAGAAGTGAGTTTTCGATGTAGATTATTGAAAAGTGTACAGCTCCAGTGGCTTCCTAATATCGGAAGGAAGAGCGTTCCAGACGGCCGCAGAAGCGCACCTGAGCACGCGCGATGCAGCGACCGTCTTTGTTCGATGGTCAGTCAAACGTCGCTGCCGCTGCGAGGATGAGTGGAGTTTGCATGATGCTGGGTCATGTTCCTTGACGAGTACGTGGCATACGAACTGGATGACGTCCTCTCCGACGCATTCCATTCCTTAGCTGCCACTCAGTTATTTTTCTCGACTTTCGTGAATGATGATCATCATCATCACCCGAGATTTTAGATGATGACAATGATCTTTGCTCGAAGCTTCAACCGTGGATGATGATGGTGGTGGTGAGCGTTTCATTCAGCAGATACTGACCGACTGACTGAATATCTGTGACGATGATGATGATCCTGATGATGATGAATCCTATTTACAGAATTGGGAAAATTCACCAATTCCCCCCCCCCCTCCCTCAAGAAACATCATCAACCTCAATGTCACTAATTATTTAAACGTAAGCAAAAATATGTTAATAGTTATCAAATTGTGTTTCTGAAGTTAGAAATAGTACCACTTATATTCTTGGTTCTTTCGGTAAAGTCACGTAGAAGGGAAATAATAAAATAATACAAATATAAAACAATATTTTACAGGGAAATAATAAAATAATACAAATATTAAACAATATTTTATATTTGTATTATTTTATTATTTCCCTTCTACGTGACTTTACTGAAAGAACCAATAATATGAATCCCTGCAGTCACGAAAGCTTTAAATGAAAATAGTACCACCTGTTACTTAATGTTTTTTTTTTTTTAAACAGACTCGCAACATTGCGTGGTAAAACTAAACCAGACCTTGACAATGTTTAATTTTCGATTTAAAGTTTTCGTGACTGCAGGGATTCATCTTCTTGGTTCTTTCGGTAAAGTCACGTAGAAGGGAAATAATAAAATAATAAAAATAAAACATAATAAAATAATTCTCACGACGTTTCGGCCACAACGCAAGCAGCCGTCCTCAGGTGAAGACCAGGTCTGTCGAGGCGACAGCGTGAGGACGGCTGCTTGCGTTGTGGCCGAGACGTCGTGAGAATTATTTTATTATGTTTATTTTTATTATTTTATTATTTCCCTTCTACGTGACTTTACCAAAAGAACCTTGACAATGTTTCATTTCACCAGGTAAGTCCCACCGAGCTATACACATCTCTTTCACAAGTGACCTGGCTGCCGCAAATGATAGCTCACCGAAGTGGCTTATCGCGCGCGAGTTTATCGCAGCCAAAGACTCTGAACGCACGTTTCTAAATGTGGAGGGGAAACACTAGAGGAAAATCCACGCGACCACAGGGGAGAGAGAGACAGAGAGAGACACGCAAACTCCAAATATACCGTGCGTTATGGGGTCGGGATCGAACCCACGGACCTGCCCCCTGCGTGCCAGGGTGAGGGAAGGCAAACATCTCACCACCACCAAATGGTTATCCGCAATACAGGTTTTGTTTGGGTTAGATCGCGTAAATATATAAATGTGCCGTTAAACCCGCCACTAACCGACACAGTCAATTAGTAAGGGTCGTCACGTAAACAGAAAGTGACAATCCCTTACTAGCACAGCACACCGGTGTGTTGGAAGAGCAAATCCGCAAAACATTCACAATCTGAGCACGACGTTTCGCCGCTAATGACAACCGGCATCATCAGGCGGACAGATTCGTGGCGAAATCCTCTCCTTGGCTACGTGACCAAAGTGCGCTGGAGGCGCCGGGTGGAGCCGACGAAGAGGAGGTTTACTAATAGGGGTTTTCCCCTTTTTTCTGGCAACAAAAACTGACACCTTTTGCAAGGAATCATGCTTACATTAACCACAATACTTGCAGTCAAGAGAAAGCTGTCTCTGGTGTGGACCAATCAGTTTCAAAGACAATGCATAAATTATCAGAGTATTGTTTTTTGTTTGCATTTGACTGCAAGTATTGTGGTTAATGTAAGCATGATTCCTTGCAAAAGGTGTCAGATTTGTTGCCAGAAAAAAGGGGAAAAACCCTATCAGTATATTTTGGTACTGGCAAAGGAGGTCCCATGATGAAGAGGATGTTGTCTTCTGCCCTCGGCACCAGTGCGCACACACCGGTCAACAGCGAGCGAGCGAGAGAGCGCCCGCCTCGACCCTATGGGCAAACAACGAAACGACGGTCGCTCTTATTTGAACAGGGGGCCGGACCGGCTCGCGAGGCGAGACCTCGGTGAGGAATCGTGGTTGTTTTGTTGTTCATGTTGTTTCTCAACCCCAAGCGGTGAGAGCAAACAACGGACCCCCCCTCCCCTCCCACAAAGCAGTGTCCAGCGAGCGCAGTCGTGCGCTATGCGCGGGCGTGGTGTTGGCCACCCCCACGCAGTTCGTGTGCCCATGCCCGGCCTCTATCGGTGCTACTCGCTAACATCACTTGGCCCCCAACAGTTTGTTTGTTGGGGGCTATACGGTGCTGGGGATCTGTGTCTGTGCAATATGGGAGGCGGTGGTGCAGCGGTGAGCGCGCTGCGCCACGATACCCGTGTGTGTGTGTACCGCGTGTGTGTGTACCGCGTGTGTGTGTACCGTGTGTGTGTGTGTGTATACCGTGTGTGTGTGTGTGTGTACCACGTGTGTGTGTGTGCCACGTGTGTGTGATTACCATGGTGAATGCGTGAGCGGTGGTGAAGCGCATCAAACCCGGTCGATTTCCGCTCACGGCCACCAACACCCGGTGACGATTATCTGAACCGGTTGCTGGGCCTCCCCTAGGTCGACTCGGCCTCAAATGAGTACCCGGCGCGGTGTGTAAACATCGCCACTGCGGGGACAAAGGCGGGCGTGCGTGCGTGATGCTGGCCACCCAACCCCCCCTCCCTCTCGTGTGCCGTGGCCGGCCATCACAGCACTTGACCCCACAGGTTGTTGCAAGCTGTTCGGGGCAATCATTGTCGTAGATCTGTGTCTTGTCTTCACGCGACGGGTGGCTAGCGCACTGTTCCTTCGACAGCTGAACCCATAAGTTCTAGATTTGAAGTTTTCGTGACTGCAAGGATTCATACTCTCAGGTTTTTTCTTGATACAGTAATTTTAGCTGCGACGGTCCCACCTGATGACGGAGACTTGTGTTGCCTCCGAAACGTCGTGATTTATTATTTATTTTATTTCCGTTATTACTTTTATTAACTTTGAATTTTATATGTTTTACCTACGTGACTTTACCGAAAAAACCTGAGAGTATGAACCCATAAGCCCAGGTCGGGGTGTATAAAACATCAGTTCTGAGTGAAAATTATTCAACAACAATTTTTTTTTACAGAGGAAAGAAGCTCCGTCCTCTTTCAATAGAGGCGCATGCGCAGTACGCAACGTTGCTTACCCCATCAATGTCACTCGATAGGGTAAAGAAGCACCTCGTAGTTTGGCAAT